GACAAGATCTGTGTGGCGCATATGGAAAATTGGTGAGTTTTGGTCTGCGGGTCATGCTGGTAGTCTGAACAGTGTGATCCGGTAACATGCACGATGACATTGAAATTAAAGCAGCCAACACACTTTCTGCATGAAGGGCTGTGGAAACACAAACAAGATCTGGGGATACTGATCCAAACTACTCTTACCTATACCACACCAAACCGGACCACCTGGTGGATTTCTGCAGCGGGCTAGATCTGGTCGTCCTGCACTGAGTCCAGAGGTAGCTTTGTCTACACAACATGATCAACACTATTACAACATGTCTACTGTGTGAAGTCGATTGAAGCTCAAGCTGAACGTTGAAAAAGTGGCATTTTAAGGGGCATTCCTCTGATTTTCTGATTTTATACTCTACATTTTCATATCACGCGGAGTACAACGCAAACTTTAAATGATCACCTTTGACAACCACCTTCAGAATAAAAGCATCTCATTACAAACATTGGTCAACAAACCTTGTTCAAGCTCAGTGTCGATAAAATAATCTCTCCTCTCTCCCGCTGTGCTGAACTCTATCTGACCTGCTGAACTTGTCAACAGTCTCTGAAATTGTGAATAATCACAGTGAGCTACCAACAGCCATGCTAACGATGCCATTAGCATCTCTTATTGAGCACTCAGGACTCCACAGCAGAGGCCGAGGGGCGAGCAGACGCTCTGCAAACGCAGTTTGAGGAATTAACGCTCCCATTGACTTGCATTGACTTTTCCAGCAGAGACACCAAAAGCCATTTGACTCTCAATGACCTTGGTCATCACACTGAATAGCTGCCTATTGAAGTCAGAGAGCATTTTTACTGTGCCTGATTAAGCACACAAGATAGCATTTAAGGAGCTACTTTGCTCTGATGAGATTATTCCCTTCTTCTGCAGACCATTTGTTGATGTAAACAGGGCCAATCAGAGAGCAAACACGCTCTGTAAACTTGAATAATGAAAAATAAACGATATCATCAATGTATAAAGACTTAAAGGCTGGTCATTTGATAACTGTACTTAAGTCAAGACCTATCAATTTGGGGTTTGGTTTAGATGCTTTCTGTGCTGTAACTACTACATTTTAAGTCATTAAACAAAATAAAAAGGCTGCTTGATTTGATCTGAATTTGGCTCCAACAATCAAAAATTTGACCACAGAATTTAAGGAAAAGAAAGCGACTCCATATTGCATTAGATATTCAACATGTAGATCACAGGTGTTGTGTTCACAATGTGTTTAGGAGGGGGAAAAATAAAGCAAAAAGGTGGTCTTTAAACTTCACTCTTCTTACACTGCAGGCTGTGTGAATTAAACTCCCCTCTTTCATTGTAGTAATAACCTCCGTCTCTGCAGGTGAGTTATCTGCTGAAATACGAAGGTTTTCACTGAAAAAGGTAATTGTCCTGATGTCAGCAGATGTTGCTCTAAACCTGTAGATATCATTTATTAGTATGGAGTCTTCACAGTAATGTAATGCATCCATACATTCTTTTGCATTTGAGACAACCTGATGGAGACACTGTGTACAGATCCTTCGTAACCTTCCTTGGATTTAACTTCTGCTCTTAGCAACAATTAATGCTTCACATTGAGTAGAATGGTTCAGGCCCATTTAAGTCAAGGTTACACATCACTGACACAACCTTTATGTAAAGAAAGAAATAGAATTAGACAACCTGAAGACAAAACATTCGGTCCATAGGTACATGACATGGATCTTTTTAGAGAGACACGGTACAATGTTGGACAAATCTGAGGACGTACTGACGTTTTCTTTTAGCTCCTAAATGGTCATTTTCATGCTGTACATGTAGAGATATTTAAAATCCAGACACCAAATTCAGACAAACCCTTTTTAAAGCAGACTAGATTTTGTTCCCTTTTCCCTCTCCTGTGGTCCTCTCTGCTTCCTCCAGTTTCCGCCCCTTTCCTCACCCTGATACTGTTCATGGCAACCAAGTGGTTTAGTGTATAAAGTGCTGCCTTCGATAACACCTCTTCAATAGCTATAACATTGATTTACATTGGACCATGTTCAGGCCTGAGGATCTAAGTGAAAGCAGGCTAGTTTCAATCCTCTTTCAACACTGTTGTAAATTTACCACAATGGTCACAAATTTAGCTGGAAATGGCCTTGGCCGTACAAAGTTTTGTCTCCGCTGGGTGATGAGGAACAATGGAGGGAAGCAGACGCTCTTTAGAATGAGGAGAGGAGGCAAAGTTCATAAAAGTTCATTCACATCGTTCGAGGGCCGGACCAGCGGGGATAGGATGGTCAGACATAAAGGTGTCAGCTACAATTTACTCCAACAATTTGGCCATTTAGCTGCAACCCTTATCAACAATGAGTTACAATAAGCAGCTACCACAGCTAAGCATTTGTGGATCCAATAATCGCAAGTCGCACAGTAATAAACAAGAGCCAGGGACAACAGCACAAAGCTCAGAAGCCGACGTGGAGTTGAGGAGGGCTGGGTGTAAATCAGAAAGGCTCCAGAAAGAGAAACAAGTTGTGAAAGAGGCCAAAGCACATCTGCCAGGAGAGCTGCCTGCAGCCGAGAAAAACACAGGCTCTCCTTTACAGAGCGAGGAGGAGACGTTTAGAAAGACACATAAGAAACATGCAGACTGAGGGTTTTGCATTGCTAATGAAACTGACGACAGAATGATTGCTGTCAGCGGCTTCAAGATGTTGTGATAAAAACAAGGTAACCTGTTGATATTTAGTAACATGCTCTGGGTATGACGAATTAAGCCTTAAGTGGCTCTTTACTAAAATATACCAATTCAACTACAGAATTAAACATATTTACCAGAGTTGGACCCCTGGTAGTTTGTGATGAGTACAAAAAAAAATCTGAAGTAAGAGACACTGACTTTTAAAGTTTCTTTAAGTAAGAGATACGTGTATCGAAATAAGAAAAGTCTTATTTCTAGCTTTAAAAAACAAAATTTACAGCGTGAACCGCCTTTTTCGAATGTATACAGCTTAGTAAAAATACAGATTTAGTCTCTAAAGTTATTTTCTCTAACCATCAAGACTAAAAAGGTGTTTTATTGTTAGGAACTGTTCCTGTCAGCTGTGGACTGGTTCTTCTTCTGTGCATGTAATGACACCAATAAGTTCATGACAGCAGCTGTAGATGGTTTTCAATTAGATAAAAGTTAGCTATCATGATAAATCATAGAGATAATTTATTTAGTTTAGTTATGTAGTTTTTCAGACGGACATATAACCTCCAGAAATAGCGCTAACCTTTACAATCAGGTGAGTTACAGACTAGGACACAGTGAACCTAGATTTGAACTCCAAGCAGAAAGGAAGCAGCTCGCCTCACCCTATAAAAATACCTTTATAAACTTAGGTTCAAATAGACCAGATTCACCCTGAAAGTGCTGCATCACTAACACCAACCTCTATGATCCATTAACCTTTTACTGTCCTAAAAGTGAGGAATTATCTTATCTCTGACCCTGCAGCAAACACGAGCCCATGCTATTGGCCTAGTTCCACTCCTCCACTGGAAGTGTGTGTGGGTTCAGTGCCCCGAAACTGAACTGATCAGTCTGAACTCTGTTTCACCCTCCGTCTGCTCATCTGCCAGGGTCATCAGCCCATCAGCCCTCTGCTTTGATTTCCCTCCCTCTATGCTTTCCACATTTCTCCCCTATTTTCCTTTTCTCCACACAACTTATTGATTTAGTAAGGATAGAGGAATGCGTGTGTGTGTGTGTGTGTGTGTGTGTGTGTGTGTGTGTCAGGGGACCACCCACCCTTTGTATGCACAGAGTAAATACATTAGCCGTCATCTACATACTTTACCTGTAAGGAGCTGCAGCTCTTTCTTTCTTTCTCAAACAGTCATGCACATTAATAACGACCTCATTTGACCTTTTTAATGTTTTTAAAATTGCTTTTAATTATCTGGCCGTCCGCACGCTGACTATCAGATTTCTGATTTGTGCATTTCCCTAAAACAGTGCTCAGAATAAGTGCAGCTGTTTCATAAAAATATGACACAGAATAAACCATTTTCTTTTAGAGACTGATGTGAAAAACTGAAACAACCCTACTTTGCAAAAACTGAACAGCAACTCTAACCGGGAACTTTTGTTGGTTGTGTGTTCATAACATGACAGCTCCCTTGTCAAAAAACACCTACAGCACGGGCCCCAGAATAGAACCCTGAGGGACACCCTCAGTAATGTTGAGAAGATTAGAGGAGTGGCCCTTTGCGTAGATGCACTGACCTTGATCTGTAATAAGGTAAAATATGATGAATAATGAAAACGGAGGCATGGCAGATCAAGGCAAGGATTTTACCCCGACTACAAGTGTTTGTGCTGAGCCAAGCTGTCATAACTCCTGAGGCATTATCAAGAAGGAAGTTCAACACACTCCTTGTATCTCATTCTTGTCTGGCTTTACTAACTGTGACGAAAGAGACCATACTTAACAGGCATACAAAACCTGTTATCAACTCAATAAGGAAACCCTGAGTTACTGCAGGTTCACATTAACGGGGCGATGACAGATACATCTGACCAATCGCAGACATTAATGTGTTTGCCATCAGCAGATCCGCAGATTTATACAGGAAGCAGAGGTGAGTCCTGTATGGACACCTGAACACAAATCTACAGAGAGAGTAATGGACAGCATTGAGAGATGAAGCACACAGTCCATCATGAAAAGCGACAGAGCATGTTTTATTTTTATTCAAAGGGTTTAAAACCAGTGTCTGCAAAGAATACTGAGCTAAGAACTTTTGAGCAGACAAGTTAAACGACAGTATCATCAGCATAGAGATGAATGTGACAGTTTAAGCAAATCAATTCATAAAAACGGACGCCTCTAATATGTGCAGCTACAGTGGCCCTTGAGTACAAAAAGCTCCTGTGATGCTTGAGAAGTTTAATCCTCCATTTGTCAAGTTTTTATTATCAAAAACGTCTTTTGTCAGTAACTTTTTGTGCACACAACAACCTCTCTCCTACACTTCTCCCAAATAGCCACTTATTGAAAACACAATCAAACAAACCCTGGTTATCTAGACCACAAAACTGTGTTTGATTTTCTGCTGTGTTCACGGTTTCATTCTGTACCCCTTTTTACTTTAACTTGCCATTTTTATCTTTTATTCTCCCACTCTTATAATATAAAAGACTCAATAGTTGTTGTATTTACGTGATTATACACTTATTCAAACATACTTACGGATATTATATTAAGTTTTTACTGTCTGCTCTGCTAAATGCTGCTAACTCCCACACTCCCCTCTTCATAAATGACTGTTTCCCTTCATTATTTCAAAGATCTGACACACAGATTTTCAGTAAAACAGCTTTATTAAATAAAAAGCTCATACATTATAACATATGTCACATAAATAAGTTTGGGTAAGATAGAAAAGTTATATAAACAGTCTCTACATTACATATGTACATCATCCTATAGATACACCTCTGAGTTGATTAAAGTGTTCCTGTCTGTGTATAGTGCCTCTCGTTTAGTTTGCTCACATCCTCAACAAAACAAAAATTACACAAACAAATCCAACGTATTAACATCTTGATATACAACAATAAAGAATCTACAGTATGTACAATTTATACCAAGTGTCATACTGACAGGACTGAAAGATAAGCTTATTTTCAGTATGAATTCATGAGTCTATTTCCAAAATTGAAGTATCTGGATTATACTGCTGCGCTCATGATTTCAGACTCTTGGGAGACCTCAGATTTCGCTCCACACTCCCTAGGATTTAATTTTGTGCATAGCTGGTGAACTTGGTTGGCAGATTGTCCACAGGGTAGACGGTAGGTCCTGTTTTCATGGTGGGCGGCCCATTTAAAAGAGTCCAGTGACACTTGGTGACCACTTCAACCAGAAAGATCTTCAACAGAACCTTAGCGAACTCCTTCCCCACACACATCCTGGAGCCTCCCCCAAATGGGATGTACTGGAACCTGGATGAATCGCCGCCGGAAGGTTTGGTCATGAAGCGCTCGGGCTGGAAGTCCTCTTTGTTGGGGAAGATCTCAGCCACATCGTGGGTGTCACAGATGCTGTAGATGACATTCCAGCCTTTTGGGATTTGGTAACCCTGAAGCAATGAAAGGAAATATTCTGTAAGAAGACTGTTTTCAATAACGTCTCTGCAGTCTGAAGTCTACACCATCGTGACCTATACTCTCATGAGCATGACAGACTCTGAATGTCTACAGTACAATTTCTATGCCAGTCATATAATTAGTTTCTGCAACATTTTCTGTTTGTTTGTGCACAGGAACTGAATCTGGGTATAGAAGTTGGAGGAAAAGGATCCAACTCGGGTATTGGAAATGTTCCAAATGCATAAAATATGACGCAACCCGTCAAACCAATCACAGTCTGCTCTATTTTGACCCAGTAGCTACACTCTTTTGGGGGTGCATGTCAGGCCACATGCATTGCTTTTGGGAAGGTTTAGGGCTAAACAAACCTACAGCCAATGCAACAACAAAGATTCAACACAGAAGTACGCGTCGATCGGATTTCAAATTTGTGTGGTTCAAAAAGTTTTTATACTTACATTGAGTTCGAAAGTCTTGAGAGCCACTCTGAAGCCTCCGGGAACAGGAGGGTTAATCCTCAGAGTCTCTTTGATGACACAGCCGGTGTATTTCAACTGCTCCAAGGACTCGATGTCAAGACTGTGGAGGTCCATCCCCTGCTCTTCCTGCAGACAAACAAGGAGACATGTCAGGAGGTGCAGAAGCTAAAGCTTAGTGATCATCTTTGGACAGGAATAAGGATAAAAGTTTGGAACAGAGGCTTTGAATATCAGCTACGGTTTCAAAGGTCAACTCAAGCCTTAATTAGTGAAAACTATCAGTCCATACTTAACTTGTTTACCTTAGATTAGCTTGTTAGCCCTGGTGGCCTTCCAAGCTCAGACACGTCTTATTATCCTGATCTGGGTTTAACAGTCTGACTCTAATGAGCTTTACCAAGAAAGCCTCAATGTGACAAACTCTCTCCAGGGAACGTTTGCATTACATCAACCCTGCTGTGAGTAACAGTGAGTTACTGTAGGTAACAGCAGGCCATGAGGAGATGTTGTCAGCGATAAAGAGCTCCGGTAGCAGAACTTGTCAGCCCAGAAAAAACATATCAGCTTATTTTTTTGTAACATAAAAACTGTAAATCACATTATACGTGGACACTTTATATTACTCATATTTCTATGGTTTTGGTTCTTGGTAATGAAATAACAAAACTGTATCAGAGAACATGTAGTTTGTACAGCTGATGACCTTTTTCTTCTTTTACAGTAATTCAATCTGATGGTTTTTTGAATGAACTTTTCAAATATTGGTTGTAGAAATCTACAGTGACATAAATGTCTCCAGGTAGACTCTAACCTAACTTCCAGAGCTCTAATTTTGAGGTGGTTTTAATTACCTTCTCCATCAGTTCCTGTCTCAGTCTGCCCACCACTTCAGGGTTCAGGCCCAGGAACATGACCAGAGAGGTGGCCGTGCTGGCCGTGGTTTCATGACCTCCAAACAGCAGCTCTGTGGCCGACTCGTTTATCGCCTGATAACAGAAATGAAGACAGAGTGAGACCAGAACAAGCTTTCAGAGGAGAAGAACTGACACTATCATACAGTCAAGTCTGTCATGATCACTTCAGTACCTGCAAGCTGATTGGCTCCCCGCTCTTCCTGTTGTTGTCAATGAGCTGCTGCAGAGCGTCTCTGTGTTTGGACTCTTTGTCCGACTCCTGCATCTTCTTCTTGATGTTCTCCTCGATCTTGGAGTGGATGAAGTTCCTCGCCTTTAAACCCTAAAGCAGAAGAGGATGGAAAACAGAAGTTAAAATACATTAATCCTTCAAGTCTTTTCCTGTGTGATGTGCTTGTTGTGAATTAAAAGGACTGGAGATATCAGTCTTGAGCTTTTAGCCAATTTAATACAATCTATTTTACGATGAGTTAGCCTTTTCATTTCATTAGGGTAAAAAATCTGATCAATTGTTCTGACTGGTCTGTTTCTGTGTTGTTAGATATTATTCTTTATGTGTACTCCTCAGGCTGAATGACTTTAAACCATCTATTTGTTTATCGCAGAGAAAGCATGAGGAGATTTCCCTCTCTTACCCGGTATAATCCGCTAAATGGCACATCGATGGGCAGAGAAAACAGGTTCTTGATCATCTCCTCAAAAGCTTCCACCAGCTGCTCCTCGTCTGTCTTGATCTGCTCCGGCTCGAAGCCCAGGAGGATCCTCATGGCTATCCGAAACATCAGCCGCTTCATCTCAGGGTAGACCAGCACGCAGGAGTCTTTATCCAGCCACTCCTTGACTGCAGCCCGGACCTCCTCCTGGATGACAGGGATGTAGAGCTCCAGAGCCTCTCTGGAGAAAGCCCGCATGATGGCCTGACAAGGACAAGAGGGACTTATTCAGACTGACATCCATGTATCTAAACAAATTACAGTCATTTCAGCGCCATGAGGGCAGATGACTGCAATAGATTATCATGGTGTATCTGAATGGCTCCAAAAAAGATGCTTATCGAACAATTTTTTGTAATTGAACCTCTTACGTTTACTTTTCTCATAGTGATGCACAATCTGCCAGTATTCACTTTAACTTTACCAAATGCTTTTATGTTATTTTAAGTCATTTTAACAGAAGTTTGGTTTCCCCAAGGTCTTTCCAGTGCATTCTTTTAAGATCTACACCCTTTCACTTACTACACTGGCAACTTATTGGCTTTTACTGCTTTAAATGACCCAATACAATATTGATGATTCATCATCACAGTGAAAATGTTTTAGGGTTGGAAAAGTACAAAAATATTCCACCAAAGTAAAAGTACAGTTACTTTAAGATGTAAAACTACTAGTTTGTTTATCTCAACTCCTCTACTTTCCTTCAGATTAATACCATCTAAAAGCTCCTGTGAGAAACTTCCACTTTTGTACTTAATTTAGCACCCCCTGTGGACAGAGCAGCCTGTTTATCTTCTCCTTAAATCTCACCCCGCTGCTTTTGGACGAACAAATAAATCCTTTTTGTGAATATTTGTTAGAAATAGGTCTGTTGGCTGACACCTACCCCTTCATACTGGTGTTAGGTTTGAGAATGTACGATAAAAAAAAAAAAAATCAAATCTTTTGGCTGATGGTCTTATTTGCTTCCGTGTGTCATCTATATAGATTTCAGTCTGTTTCATAAAAGGTAAAAAAAAAAAACTCACAACAGGAGCTTTAATATACTAAGTTCCTACTTTTTGTTGTAGGTGATCTCTGCAAACTCCAGAAACATTTGGCTATGCACATAAGATTGTTGACACAAGCCAATATTTAGGACTGGACATTGATTGATAGAGTTGAGAGAAAAATTGCATGTATTGGTGACTCTTTTAACAAAGTAAATCATGCTATCTAAAGTAAAATCATTACCTCAGAAGAAAAATAGGTAAATGTAAAAATACTGACTTTAAAAAAGTACAAATTCACAAAGAGCTGCTCAATTGTAATCATGTGAGAAAATGTCCTTGTTTTTCACCTCTGATAGCTGACATTCATTTGAGAATAAAACTCTTGGTTCCTATGTTTTATCTTTAAGATAAATTTTAAAAAGTTGACAGATTTCTAAACATAGTAATTCAAAGTATTATTGAAAAAGAGTCTCCATCCACAGCGATTTAAAAGTTTTAGTTGAGTGTACTGACCTTCTTCTTGCTCTTGTGCTGAGCTCCGTGCACGTTGGAGAGCGTGTCCGAGCCCAGGATGGTGCGCACAGACGCGGGCCACTGCACAGACACGAGCCTGTGCTCCCCGAGCAGGATCTGTCTGACGTTATCCGCTCCTGTCACGCGCACCGTGGGATTCCCGAAGAGGTGTGTGCGGTAGATGTATCCGTACTTCTGCCGCTTCATGCGCAAGAACTTTCTCCTCTGCAAACACAGACACTTGGAGTTAAAGACTGACAAACTCTGATCATGGGAAAAAGTCATACAGGTGCTCCAAATCAAGTCAAGGGATCAAACTAATCAATGCATCTAGATAGAGTGTGATTTTCGATTACAACACTTTATAGATAAAAGTTTTCTGTGTGTGTGGCGCCTGCAGCATCCCCTCTGTGGATGTAAATAATGAGAAAGTCGAGTTGAGCAGCCGTGCCTGTGCTTACCTGCAGGATCAGCTGCAGCGTCTCTCCAATGAAAGGTAAACCCATGGATCCGGGAGGCAGCGGGCGGGAGCAGCTCGGGTCTCTCCCCCGGATCATGTAAACTTCCCAGAGCTTCAGCGCCACCAGAAAGAGCAGGATAGGCAGCACGATGGTGCACAGGAAGGTGGCCAGCAGCGTGCTCAGAGCCATGTTTGCAGCAGGAGAGGCGTGAGGTGTGAGGTGGAGGTGAAGCTCTGTCAGCGACGGAGGCTCTGGGCTGCCCATCCTGCGCTTTTATAGGCTGCAGGGACGGCGGGCCAGCCTGTTACCTTCTCCTCCCTCAGATAAATTAGTTCACTCAAAGTTCATCTTTAATTGTGGGTGTCGTTGGGCTCCGCCTCCGGCCTGTACTGGCTGACTCGCCTCACCATTTGTTCCAAGGAAAAGGGCCGCATCTTTAATCCCTACCTCCTGTTGCACGCAGACAATCCACGGGGATTTCACTGAGAAAAGGTGATGATTCCAAGCGAGACAATGGAAGCGCAGCCCAAGACGCCTTTGTTGGAGAGCAGGCAGCTCGTTTACACACTCATTAGCTCGGCTTAAGCCCCGCTTGTAGGCTCGGGAATCATGCCTGCATTCAAGAGCAAAAAGCTTTTAAGCAGCACGTTTTCAGCCGCTTCAAAACGTGGAAAAGAGGCTGGAAGAATGTCCTAATCCCTCTCCATGTGGGACTCACAGGAGCCATTCACAGTTCAGCCTAAGTCTTCATTGATTTGACTCGATTTAGCAGGAGGAGGCTCCATCCTGCACACGATCAGACTTTTATAGTTTTGATTTATTCTCCTGATATCAACTGATCCTCTGCTCTCTCTGTCAGAGTGGAAATCTGAAGATGAAATCATAAAATCAGTCTGCTGTCCTCCTGTTGACTCACTTTCTATCAGCCTGTTTCCACTTGAACCTCCTCTCTAATCTACAGCAAGACTTTAACCTCTGCATCTGTGAGTCTGTGTGTTATAAAAATGATATCTCTCTCTGAGGGTTCAAACTTGGGTCAGCTGGGAAGGGCGGGGGGGAACACGCGCGCGCACACACATAAACATGCGTGCACGAACTCGCGCGCGAGGTTATCCCTCCGCCGCATGTAAAGTAAACACGAGCTCATCTCACCACATCCTCACTGCGCGTCTGGACTCATGTTTTTTACGACGTGCCATAACGTCAGGTCGAGTGTGTGTGTGTGTGTGTGTGTGTGTGTGTGTGTGTGTGTGTGTGTGTGTGTGGCAGGGCCAATCGGTCAGAGTGAGACAGCTTGGCTGCTGTTTTTACAGCGACACATTACATGGATGATCTGTCTGTTCTGGCTGACTGTGTGTGCGCCCTGAGCTTCACCCCCACATGAAGACACTCTGACTATCACTGTCACTGATGCGGTCATCATCCCTCATCGATTATTAATAGTCTGGTCGACTACCTACTGATCCTTTGACTGCATGCTGCTCACAGACTGAAGCTGCCACAGAGGACACCTGTGATTCGTATCCATGTCATGTCATCAGCATTTTGAGAAATCAAAGTTTATTTCTGTCACAATTGGACCCCTAAAGACTCTTTCACTAAATCCATGTTTTGTTAATAGTTCTTCATTTTCTCTATCTGATCATATTTGAGTGAAGTTTATCTGATGTCTGTGGAGCTCCTGTATTCAAAAATGTAACAAATATATCAAAAACCTGATCTAAAAGGCCCTGGTTAAGGTTCTTCAAGATGTTTCCACCTCCTCTGACAGGGGTTTTGATTTCCAAAAAATATTTTTAAATCTGACTAAGAGCAGACAGAATAAAAGCCTTAGTTGACCATTAGAAGGGTAATCTTACCTGTGCACAAGAAATTAAAGGGATATTCCGGCGTAAAATTAAGTTAGGGTCCTACCTACTCTCCTCCAGCAGCCGCTTGTTTGTGGCGAGACCTCGGGCCAGTCCATTACGCACTGCTGCAGGGTGACGCAGCTCAAGGAAAAACATTTATGATCATTTCTTTATTATTTCCTTGAGTTAATAATCATCATATTAATTTTGCACTGCAGATGCGGTAGTTCTTCTGCCTTGGAGCTGCATCCCCCAGCTGTAGTCCATAATGGACTGGCCCGAGGTCTTGCTACAAACAAGCAGCTGCTGGAAGAGAGTAGGTGAGTTGTGTTTAGTCTCTTTGCTTAAGAAATTAGGCAAAGTTGAAAAGATGTTTGGTGGCTAGTGCTGTGGCTAGGACCCTTTATGTACTGTTGATGAAGTTAGGTGCTGCTCTGAGCATTATTTGTGGCTATAGAGTGGTGTTTTGGTTGAGGTTTGTTTACGGCTCCTCAGACTGCTGTGTATTGCTATCGTGCGGTCATTACTAAAGTTGATGTAACTACAGAAGCAAGCGGTCGGCAACATTCATCTCTCAAGGGGGTGTCTCACTCGTGTTACGGTGTGTTTGACCCTAAATTAATTTTACGCCAGAATATCCCTTTAACGCAGATTTGTGGACGCAAGATCACCTGTGTTCAATACAGTACAGTATTTAAGATGGTGTAAATGCTATGAGCACTACAAACCTAGACAGAGTGAGAGTTGTAGGATGTCTTGTAGGCTGCAGAGATAGTGTCTTCTAGCATCAGTTACAGTCTTGCTAAGTACAAGCCTTGCTGTTTTCACACAAAGTTGCAAAAACTTTCCCAAAATTACCTGAGTTGTACATGTGAAGAGTAAAAGCTAATGTTCTCACCCAACTTTCCTCCAAGCCCCCTGGCAACTTGTGCATGAACAAGTATATTTTTCTAATTTTTTGTATGCTAAACCTAAACATCAACATGTTTCACTCTGTCATGGAAAATACAAAGTCTATTCTAACCTGTGCCTCCTCTCTGCTAGTGGTTTGAAACACTAAAAATTACTATTTATTAGTCACTATTATTGTTAATAGTAACTATTTAAACAAATATTATTCTTTTGTAGCTCTTAAAGGCATCAGTATGAGATCGAGCCTTTCCTCAGCCGCCCCTCTCTCCTCACAAACCCTGACTCTGCGCTGGGATCAACCATGAGCCTCACTCTGCAGGTGGAAAACTGGATTTTCTCCAGAGTGTTCTCAGACAGACACCGGCGAGCGATGCTCCTTCAGGGTGAATGGGTTTCCAGCTGCTCATGTTGTAGCCGATGAGTTTTTCTCATCACAGTGTGAATGTGTTCAACAGGATTGTGCTGCTCAGGTGTGATAAAACAGGAGGGAGGAGGAGGGTGAAGGGAAGTTCAAGTTTAGGCCTTTACCTCACAACACTCACTGAAAACCTGCAGGACAGGTCATAAATCTGCACCCCACACATCTTAGACTGTGAAAATAAATGAGTGTTACGGTGCAGCCCTGAGTGTCCTCAATGTATCTGCTCCTGGCATTATCATCTTCTGAGACTTCTGACAGGCTGTTCTCACACACAGGTCATCAAATATGGCTGAGTGCTGAGTGTGTGTGAATTTTTCATTGATCTTTTAGGATAATAGAGTCAACCCATGTGAATTTCTGTGGTATCTGGACGTTATGATATCAGGGCTAAAATGGGTAACATCTGTTCAACTTTGGCTGATATAAGGGGTTTCCTCCAGGTGGTGGTCTGGTTTGGTTCACTGCAGCTTGATAAGGTTCGGCACAGTAAACTCCAATCTTGCAAACTCTACTCCAGCACTTTTCAAAGTTAGGTGACTAAGTAAGGGCTTTTGCTTTTCTTTTGGGTGTGAATATTAACAGAAAGAAATAACAGGCTCAGTTTTTTAATGAGTATCTCTCAGTATCTGTGAAGATATAGGTCATAAGCATGAAAACAGTTGCATGTCTGCACTTCTGAAAAGCTGCAAAGATCTGAGGGACACAGGAACTGTAAGTAGTTTGAATGATCCTTTAATCAGATGGCGGCCACGTGTGTTTTATATACTTATATGTTATTAATGATATTTTGGTGTATTTTATTATGCCAACACACTGTAGTTGGTGGGACCAGAAAATCTAATCACCAGCAATCAAACAAAACAAAACCAAGAAATCAGAGGTGTAAATACTGTATACGGTATCCTAACAGTATCAGTATTATAACATCCTGAATTGAACCTCCACTCAGGGATAAATAAAAAGTTCTTCTTTTCTTATCTTAAATTTTAATGTTGATTTAAATGCTGATGCCGGCGCCATCATCTGCATCTTCTTTGACAGTAGGGAAACTATCTTCTCAAACTATGGCACAATAATAATAGTGTGTTCTTGCTGCTTTAAAAAATCCCACACTTAATATGTATTTACCATAGACTGTATAATAATTGGATCTAGTGTCTGTGATATCATCCATTTGTTTGGGAAACACATAGTTAAAGCCTTTTGGCAGCAGTCGCCACACTGGTAATGTTGACTTCACCCTGCTTTTAATCAACCCTACCAGAGGCGGGTTTTTAGCCTCCTCACAAGAAGCTTCAGTGTACCTGCCTGTCAGTCAAGTCAGCTGTGCCATTAGTTTGCCAATCTTGTAACCTGAATAAGTTTAAAACAAGCGCGTTATTTTAAAAAATTCCCACCTTGTACAGTTGCTGTCATAGGGGCCCCGAGCTGCTCAGGCCTAAACTGTGTTTTTTTGCCTTGTTTTGTTTCCAGTGCTTCAGCAGACAGCCTCCAGTGGACACACTCAGAACTGCAGCATTTAGCAATTCTGCATCAGCTTTATTTTGCTGCTTGGTGCTGACACACTAAAGCAAATACTCCTGTCACATGGCAAAACATCACCAAAGTGTGTGTAACCAAGCAAACTCAGGTGAGTGTGGAGGAATGGGACAACACTAGTATGTTTCTCAATCTATAAAAACCTCCTTACTGTGCCTTTAATTATTTATTGTCCCCTAAGGTGGTCTGAAGCCTCCACTTTAATACTGCCTATTCTTGATTGTTCGAGGAGTTTAGCTGAATTGAAGTTAAGTGACAGTAAGGGATTAAAAAATGACAAAAGTTAACTTCTGTGAAATACAACCTCATAAAAATACTAAATCATTTCCATCCGTACTGCTATGAAACAACCTTAAGGAGCTGATACACATGATTATTTCACACATCTGTTTATGTGCTCAGAGTTACTACACACACACACACACACACACACACACACACTGAAAGAGAGAGAGAGAGAGAGCACAGTCAGCACAAGTCCTGCGGCGCGTGTTTGTATCTCTCCTCCTCCTGCAGCTCGCGCGCTGGCTGACCTGCATGTGACCCTGACATCCCGGTGAACCCTCGTGTGCAACCAAGTTCACCAGAGAGAGAGAGAGCGAGAGAGAGAGAGAGGGAGGGAGGGGGAGAGGGAAAGAGAGAGATAAAGAGAGGGAGAGAGCGGAGGAGGAGATATAGAGGCTCATTTAAAAATAAACAGCTGATTTGTCTGTTTGAACACTGATTATTTTTAATTTGACATAAAAGGTAAAAACAGTGTCGATTTACAAACTCTACAGATGGCACATTGTTCCTGCCAGTTATCAAAGATAGAAGGTCAAAAAGTTTGGACTAAAGTTTTTTTTATTTTCATATTTGACACTTATACTGAACATTATACTTAATTCTTTAACTAGTCTGTTCGATAGAGAGATACTTTATTCCTCTTATTTATTCCATGAGAAACACACATTTCCAGCAACATGACAAGGATGAAAACTCAGAGGCATGCAGGGTTGAGAGATAAAAATACAATATAAAATCTAAAAGATAGAAATAAGAATAAAAATAAAAGTAAAAATATTAATAATATAATACAAAACGCCTCTTGAAAGTACCCGATACCGATCTTGGTCTCCTTCAGTATTAACTTTCTGTGTGTGTGGAGAAAAACTGCAGCCAGGTGAGCTGACATGAATCATCCCTGTTTATGGTTACCGTTTGTCTTGACTTGTGGGACATGTAGTTTGAGGAGCATTTCTCAGCAGGAGGAGGTCAGAGTGTCAGGCTCCAGGTTCAGCAGGAGGTCACTCTCTGTTTGTCCACTGACATCACTTTCTGTCTGTCCCTCACTGTGGAGACTTCAACAGGAGCAAGTGAGCAGATTATACGTCATCATTCGTCACATATACATTTATCTGAGGCTGAAATTAACAAAGGAAAAGACACTGATTTAGTTTTACTACTTTTAACGGTTGGGTCTCTAAAAGGACTAGCTTTAGTTTTCAGTACAGGTCTGAGATCAGATCTCACAGCCACCATCAAGCAACTGAAGAGCAACTTTTGTCAGACCCATTCAGCCTTCTCTGTGATGGTTTATTTCAGATGCTTTTCAAAATAAAAGCTTGGTATATATTTAAAAATGTTGTGATCCTACATATCAAAGGTACCAAAACTCCTGACTGGGGTCTACAGCAACATTTACACTTATTTTGTTCTCAAACTATAACGTCACCAAATGTCTTTGGCTATTGTATCATCTTGTACCTTATGGGTGACAGAGAAAAGATTTATTTTTGAAGTGCTGCCCGTGGGGCACATTTCCAGTCGATCACTAATTCGCCTCCTTCAGCCTGTATGGGAATCACCTTTTTACTGTCTTCATACAGAAGTTTTATGTTCTCCTTTTGTTATTTTCTTTGTACCGATCAGTTTCCAGTTTACTGACTGTTAAGCAAAAAGATTTAGAGCTCCCCCTACTGGCCAAATGGAGAATAGGTCATAAACTTCGCCTTCTTCATGTTCAAGGGATGGATCTTAGTCAAACTATAAAATTAAAGGGCCGGTTTATGTTTGCCGGCCCTTTAACCTACAACCAACTTCAGTAAAGTCTGAAACTTAAAGACTTGGTATCTTTGAATGTTTTTCAAAAAATGCTCATGGCTTGAGGCGGCCTCAACTGTCTGCAGATGTTCCATCTAAATGACCATGGTCTTAACGATTGGATTGGATTGGATTAGATTGTGATTGACTAATGTTTGGATTGTGTTTTTTTTACCTAATGTTTCTCCATTGTGAATGTCTGTAAATTTGTCTGTCAGTGTCTTGGTAACTGTGCTGCCACCTGTCTTGGCCAGGACACACTTGGAAAAGAGATTCTTTTTTCTTATCTTAATGTGGTGTTTTCTAGTTAAATAAAGGTTAAAAAATAAACATTAAAAATGATTTTTTCAGCCAACAAAACTACATTAAAATTTCGTCAAGTAATACAAAGTTGAGTTGAACACAAAGAGAACAGATAAGGTTGGGGAAAAGATCTGAGGTTGCTACAGTCTCCCTCAGACAGCAGGAGACGGGTAAGGTTGTAAAGTGAGTGAGGAAATCAGACGTGAATGTGCCTCCTCTTCCTCCTCTGTCTGCCGGCTGTATTGTTGGAGAGAATGTAAAATCTGTTTACTGCCTTGTTAAAGTGTTTGATCCCCGCACTAAAGTACTTCTCACTCCTGTTGACGTTCAGGAAGGAAACCCCGACCCTGCCCCCCCAAAGGACCTTTCCTCCTCTCACTGAATTAACACAGGAGCGTCATATCTGCTCCCTTTAGAGACAACCAGTGAGAAGTACCATTGATATCAGGGCCTGGAGCTACCTTTACATATAGTCTGATGGATTAGTTTTGTGGATCACATCTAATGTGACTGTCACAGGAGAGTAATGGGGTCAGGGTGTGCATCTTCATTTGATGGTTATCATGATTAACGAACGTCAAAAATCTGTGTGTTTTTAAAACTGTTCTCAAACACATTTCCGGCTCCAGCTCAGAAACTCGTATCTCATTATTATGTGTTATCACAGTACTGCAAAATGGTTTTTTTTTTACTTAAAATATTACCTGATTTCTCTCCTTCTCCATCTCTCTCAAATGACCACAGACAGTCAGAATACTGAGGTTTGTGTTCTATGATCTTGGACAAGGACTGTCACTCTATCTGAAGTTCAAACCCTAGAGAAAAGGGTTCATTATCGTAACTGTAATGACTCGTTCAGACTCATAATAATACAGTAAACCAGCACTTTAGGCCACCTGAAGTGACAATGTATGATCCAGCAGAGGGCGCTTTCATCGTAAACTGACAATTGAATGCGTTCTTGACCTCAGAAGCTAATAAGGTAAATTTTATTCTACAAAAATGGAGAACATGGTCGAGCAAAGCTGCACTGAGCAAAAAATACCAACAGCAAAACATCTGAGGAGGGTGACCCCCGATTTCTACGACATCCGGCTACAAAAAGGCCGTATCCGCCGATCGTAGCTGATCACAACCATCAAAGTTGATGTGTCAATTTCCATCGGCTTCTTTCTGTTCCGCTGCGGATCGCCGGTGGACTCCACAGCTGATCGTAACAGTTCTATTTCTTTCGGACGCCGGAGCATTAACCTGTGCTGGAAAGGAAGTCGGGCGCAGATACAAAATAAAAAATCCGGCTTCTTTTCAAAATGAAACACTTTGTGTTTCAGGCGGATCGTATTTCACACCATGCAAACGGGCGGGGACGAACAAGTGAAAGGTTTATAGACAGCATTTCATCCTGATGACACCATGGATGAGAGGATGCTGATTTCAAAAGTCATAAGATTTCTGATGCTGATTTCATAAGAAGGAACATGATTTTTGTTGCCTTTATGGATAGTGCAGAGCAAAGTGGTTTCATGACAACAAACTGCAGAAAAAGCCACGTACCCACAGTTCAGTACAGTTCCAGGCTGGTTTATCAACAAGGGACCGACTAGGATCCTGGGCCTGGATAGTAATACACTCACTACAGATAAGTACCTCAAGTACTACAACTCTACTTCAAAATATGGACCATCCCTTCAACATAAAAACAGAATCAATGTTTGATATACTATTTCTCCTCACTGTGACTTTAAGTTACACAAAAACCCTTCTAACACCTGACATCAATACAGAAAAGTTTGGTTTTATTCTTGAAACACTAAATGAATGAAAAACAAAACTTTTTTCTTTTTGTGTTTCATAGAAGAGAAAAGGTCACAGTGTTAAATCAAAGCAAAGGCAGAGATAAACAAGACAGTAGAGCTAAGAGCGCTCTGTGACCCTCTGAAGAAAACAAACACATTTCTGTGTGTGTGAGTGAGTGTGTGGGTGTGAGTGTGTGTGTGGGTGTGTGTGTTGGCAGGGTCGCTGCTGTCCAGTGATAATAGAGCCCTCCAAATGTCTCTCGCCTCATTACATCTGCGGCGACAGGGATCCTCGCATTCAAGCGCTGACCCAGGCCAAAGTTCACATGCTGTTTCCCAGTTAGCGTGTGTGTGGTGGGACCCAGCGAGGCTCCGAGGGAGAGATCCAATATGACAAAACTTTCACAGAACAAGTGACGCTTCTGTTTTTGTTTGAGCATGAGGGTGGGAGACGGCGGAGAGTGCATCCACGTCATGACCAATGCGTCAGTAAAATATGAGTCACTCCCACTGAGTTTAAAGGCCCAGTTCAAACAAAAATACACAATGTCCCTCACCTGGCTTCAATTCAAGATAGATTCTGTTTGAACACCTACAATTTACAATATTTAAAGAAAATTCATTTCTCAAAACTCCAAACTAGGCAACTCATCATGGCAAAAATCCTAATCACAATTATTTCTATTCATATCAAGATCAGGACTGGCAATTTTTTAAAACAGTGACGAAAAAAAATAGAAAGATTTAAGCTCTTTTACTGCTTAGACTTTATCACACGCTGTAGATCAAACAAATCACTCAGTCTATTGAAGCATTAATATAATATCATTTATAACATCAAGACTTGGGCCTGTATTTTATCATGATCCTAAACAATGTCTCTCCAGATCCTCTCTTTCCTCCTGCTTATTCTGTCCCTTGGCTTTTCAGACACACACCTACCTCCTGCCTTTTCCTTCCCCTCTAGCTGCCCTCCTCTCTCCACTTGAAGCTGCCTGATGGTTTGTAATATTTGAATATTTTCAGAGAGCTTCTTAAACTCTGTGCAGACCCTCAACAACATCAGAGCAGAGGAAAGACTCTGACCATTGCGGTAGTTCATTCAGCTGTGGCACAGACACAATAATGTAAAAAAGAAAAAAAAAGAGAGGATGGTTACTATAAAACCTCTGACGCTGTATTTGGACAAACAGACTCATTCACCAGCAGATCTTACTGTTCAATAAATTTTTATTACAGCACACAAAATAAAGACAGCAAAATAAGGAAAACAACATCTCAGCCATGATGCCACAAAGGGAAAGCATGGATTCCTTTGGATATCAGACTGTACCCTCTCTCCACTATGAAGGCGACAAAACCATCTCAGGTTTGTTCTCTTTGTGGGATAATTATCTGCAAACCAGTATTGTATGTTCAACTTTAAATTTGTCACATTTCACCAGGAAACAGTTGAAGGAAGGAAGGAATTTACAAATGAATTACGAGCCTGTGTGCCTGAACAGTTTTTTTGTCCCTTTTGCTGAGATAATGTGACAGACTAACCTAATGTGATAAACTTAAAACTAATATTAAATAGTCAAACATTTATATTTAAAGAAAATAAAGTGAGGTCTTTTCCTCAGACTGTCTCATTTTTTCAAATATGTGTTATTATTAGTGACAACCCTGCTGTCTAGGAACAACAGCTGAGCTAATGTGCAACGCCAACATGAGGTTACACATTTCCTTCAGAAATTACTTCACTGTGTTCGGAGGGAAAATGACACTGCTGTTTTAATTATATCTGCTATCATTGTTTTTATTTCTGTTCCATGTCCATGTTCAATTTTTGTACACTGCAGTTTCTAGAAAGACATTTCTCTGGATTTGGCTTAAAATATGGCTTAAATTAAATCAAACAGACACCTTTTTTTGCTAAAAACAAGACAAAAACCCTTTGTAGCATTTGGGTTTTTCTTTTTCCTCTCTAAAGGAGACCCATCGGGCCAGTCCATACTGTAATAAAAATATATAATATTAAAATTCTTAGTTGTATTTTACGGTTTCCAGAATGGCTGAATTCGAGATCTTCTGGAGGCTCTATCTGCACCCAAAGTCAGGCTCTGCTGTCCTAACAGGACAATACAGAGGATGCACCCACTGCAGCTTATTTAAGCCTAAAACCATCCAAGAGCTGGTTCAGAATTTCCCTCTGCACTTTGTTGAATCAGTCTCTGGAAGTTGGGCATAAGTTTTTTTTTTTTTGTTGTGACGAAATGTCACAGCTATTTTTCCTTCCCAGTCATGAAGACACAAAATGTAAGTGGGGAGTTATGTTTATGGAACAACAACCATACTGTTAGTGCTCACCACTTTACTGATGACTCCCAAGTAAACAAAGGCCAATATCATAGTAACTAATGCAAGCGAACATGGCTGAATGGACATGAAAAACTGGCCTCGGACAATTTTTGTGAAGGCATAACTCTTGAGTTGTTGTGTAAACAGTAACACCTACAAGCTGTCTAACTTTATACCAGTGGAAAAACAGCAAAATTGAAGGCTGAACAGTGCCATGAAGAGGATTTACATTGATAAGAGTATGTAATTTGATCCGTTTTCACACTACAGGAGTTTTAATAAGTAAAAATGAGCAATATAGGTTGCCTTTGGTTTCACTAGTGGGCTTTCATGCCTTTATCTTGAGGAGAGGACATTAGAAAGAGCAAGAAAATGGAAGAGGGTGTGAGAAATGACATTTGTTAATCAGGCCTCTGTACATGGGGTGCATAACTGGACCACTAGGCCAAACCAGTGCTCTGTAATCCTACTTGTGAACTATACCGGCCTTGAACCAACTCAGCAACAGGATGTCTTTAGCTTGACTGGCTTTATCAGTTGAGATGATAAAAACATATGAGTATGTCATTACTTTTTATAATGCTTCTGCAGTTTCACCATGATATGTATCCTGACGAGGACCCATTTACTTCCTTGTACATCCCTGACCCAAAGAGAGACATTTGACACTCATGAGATGAAGCCCGGACAGAAGTGTGTGTACAGAAACCCTTTGACTATAGAGTTGTTTGGTAGGGTGGTTTATTTTGGATGATACCAATAAGCAGGTATTTGTAATCCTCTGGACTGGTATTTACATACTTCACATTTTTTACACAGGGTTAATGCTTGAACAGAATACATCATTTTTGAAGGATAACCATGCAAATGAGTGGAGAGAAGGTACCACTGTACATCACTGAGCTCCTCACACTGTTGAGCTGTTCACCAGGTAAGCAACAAATGCAAATTCAAACTTGTATTATTAATTCTATGGTATTTACTTTGTTGTTTATAGAGGTGCATGTCACAATGTCGACCTCCAGTTCTGTTTGTAGCAGACACACTGCTGTAATATTCTTTACAAAATATGCACTATATACAGTGGCATTTACAAGCAACTTTAAAAAAAAAAGGCAAAAACAAACCTTTAAAGAAAACAGAGAACAGTTTCAGTGCAAAAATGCTGCTGAAGGTGGAGCAGTGACTCCAAACGTAAAGCAAATAGAAACAGTCTCGTTATAAAACGTTTGTCTTCAGGAGTCACGTGCAGGTTTGAGTTTAGCATCAAATGAACCAATTCATTATTGCTGTGCTTTGTGGACAAACTGTATGTGGGTTATGAGATACTAAAGCTTCATTTCACCCTGAGGAACGAAAAGAAAATCAAACTGTAAGTTATTGAACTGTTAAATATATAGTATGTTTTGTATACATAATTAATACAAACATAACAATTCCAGAAGTTTAAGTATGGATGAAGTTGAGTGAGTTGTAAGATATAACTGTAGTCATGGTACATGAAATAGGTCCTAAACCCTAAAACTAACAGGAGTCAAGGTGAGAGGACGAGTGCAGCGCTGAGGCCACCTTTACCTGACCCACCTTCATCACCACTGAGCTGCTGCTGCTGCTGCTGCTGCGATGAATGAGAGGAGATGTGACACTGGGAGAATTTTAATCTGTAAAGACTTTGATCTAATGAAGATCATCAGATTTAAGACGTGCAAGATGATCTGAGGTGTTCAGACCCCAGTTCCACCTGGTGTAAACAAGTTAATCCGTATCTGAGAAATGTTATGACAGTGGGCATTAACACTGTTATTAAAACATGCCAGAGTGCACACTGTGGTCAGATCTCAGGGCCTGATTCACTTAAGGATTGTGCAGCTTTTGCTCCAACAGACGACAGTGAGAGAGAGTCGTTCACACGCATGTCAACATATTTGGACTGAGAGTGATAGTAATAGTAATGCCATTTTTGAGCTGCTGGGTGACCTAAGAGCTGATTTGTAGCCAGTCACAAAAATGATCCATGCCATTTCACCTATGGATAAACGCCTTGTGACACTGTGTTTTCCTGCATCTGGATCATTCCAGCGCACCATCACAGTTAATGCGTCTCCCAGAGTAGTTTTTCTGGTGTGCTGTCCCAAGTGTTAAATGCTATATCACGAAAGCTCGGCAAGTATCCAGTTCCTACACATTGGGATGCAGTAAATGACACAAAACACAGCAGACTCTGTGCTTCAGAGCTCCGGGTCTAGCTGTAATTTATTTTGTTTTTCTGGTAAATGACGGTTTTCATAAATAAATAGGTCAAACATGGAACAGACGAAAAAATGTATCTGTTTGTCTTGTTGATTTATAAATTGTTTGAATCTTTGTGTATGACTGGTGCTATACAAATAAACTTGCCTTGCCCTTTATGCAGTTCCCCAAAATGAAAGGTGCAACTCTATGGCTTCAATCTTCATTTTTTGGCGACGACGAATTGCGCACGAAATGATAGTAGATCACGCACAACACGCCCACTAATAGCACGTGCAACTTTTTTACTTTACACGGATACGGCCTTTTCACAGTTGTTCCGGGTGCACTGGAAATTGGGGGTTAGAGCGCACAGCAAAGGAGACGGTTGCGGCTCATGACAGTCACGATGAAAACGCAACACTTGAGCTAACTGCACACAGCTGCAGAACTTGTGAAGTGTTTTTGCGCTTGAAAATCGTTGGCACTATTTGCTTTGTGATTAGACTAGATTTACACTAGGCAGATTGTGGGAGCATATGGCGCACAATTCATGGTGCTTACAGCAGCTGCAGTTGATTCTTAGTGAATCAGGCCCTCAGTGGAGTTGGTGAAAATATCAACACACAATGCACATTCAAAAAAATGTCTGCAGTGATGGAGATGAGCTGTTTCAACGTGCAAGGTTAGGGTCACGTGACAAACAGAGTGCCACAAGCAGCTCTGAGTGCCTTCCTCAAGTGCAAATTTTACTCAGGTCACATCTGTTTGTCATATCTGTTAGCAGTTCAAATGTATTATTGTGTAGCTCTGCACATGTTGATGCAGATACACTTGTAAGTCCTGGGCGTGTGTGGGCGTGGACACAGATACATGATGAGACTGAAGTCACAAAGACAAGTTTGACAGCGAACGAAGAGCTGGTGGAGAAGCTCACTAACATTAGTACTAACTATGTGACGCTGTCAGCCATGTGACTCTACAGTTGTATGTTGTCGTACTCGCTCCAGAAGTGTTGCTGTTTTATGTGCTCTATATTTTGGGGGGTTTTCACCTGATCTTTAAAATCCAGTTTAACAACCTGCACTGAGCCAGCTTATCTCTGCTTTGATTTGACTCAAAGTTTTACCTTCATATCCGGTCTCTTCATACAATTATATCTTCCTGACAGGGATGTACTGTTGGTGTTTTAATGACAATGTGCAGCAGACAAACCACCAACTAAACTTCACTTTTCATGAACATCAGTCTTTCAAGACGTCATCATCCATTCATCTCATTCATGACTCTGCATCACTTAGTTTCGGCACACATGCACACACAGTGACAACAATTCAAGCACTGGAACTATGAGTTCATGTCAGAGCGGTTAATGGTGGCATTTAAAAACTCAAAGTTCTGTGGAAACATGGTGGAAAAAAAATTATAAATAGTGCAATGTTTTCATGCCACAGGGACCTTGATCTCTCTAGCAGTTACCAAAAGAATTCATCATGGGTCATTTAAGGGTCCATTGCCATTTGTTCTTTGTATCAGGAACATCACTCCAAATGTCTCAATGAAAAGTTTCACTTCTATGCTGATGAGACTTTGATGTACTGCTCAACATCTACAGCTTTCTTCCAGCTGTGGCTTGCTATCAAAACAGTCCAACAAATTTTTTATGATTCAAAACTTGTTTTGAATTTTAAATTGTATGGGAACATCACAGCTTCTCAAAAACATGGTGCGAAGTTTTATGTTTTTGGGACAACAGCAGCTACATTGTTGCTGTTTGTGATCACCACTTTGTTGATGACTCTTTTGTAAACAAAAGCTGGTTAGAGGTGGATTTTTGTCTCAATCGTTGCTGAAACTTGGGGTTGTTGAATCCATAAAGACAACAAGTCTCAATCGTTTTCTGTAAAGGCATAACTTCCAGGTTGTGTTCTACAGCAACAACGATGTGTAAAAAGTAACATCCGCTAGTTACAGGTTGAATAGTGTTGGAAGGAGAGTTTTTATCGATGCTCAAGGAGGTTTTTTTAAACTGCAAATCACCTGAATCTTCTCATTAGGTGTCTCACACTGATACAATATGGCAAAAACAACCCAGTGTGAACCTCACACCCCACAGAAAGGGTTTCTTTTCTGCTCCGAAGACACAGGATGGTATAAATCTATCCAAAGTTACATTCTAGGCCAGACCCAAACCTCCAGCTTTTTCTTTTGGTCAATCTGAGAAGATCAAATGTTGTCTATTGCCAAGTACGATAAGTCTCATTTAATATGTTGTAAAATGAGAGCCATGTTTTCAAATCTTCTTATAATGGACATGACTGAATTCTTAACAATTATCAGCCATGTTCTTATGGTACAGGAAGTTTATGGAGAGAAACCGAGACACTAAAAAAAAAACTTGATGTTCTTCTGAAATATTGTATTCCTGTGGATGAACAGTGTTGTAGTACGAGTTGACCTTTGACCTCATAGTTCCAGTACTTGTTTCTCTTTCTGTGCTGTCCAGTCTGCAGCGATCAATACACTCTCACAGATGTACAAAACATAGTTTGTCTTATCATAGCCGTTAAAAATACTATACAAACATTTGAGTGTTTACCTCCAGTAAACGGCTCTGTATGGACGTGTTTGTGTGTGTTTGTTATTTACATGGAGCATTCATTCAGGTATAACAGTAAGGAGGGGATAGGACTTTATGTGTGTGTGTGTGTGTGTGTGTGTGTGTGTGTGTGTGTGTGTGTGTGTGTGTGTGTGTGTGTGTTTGTGTGTGTGAGTCTGTTCCCTGCATGCCTTGTACAGTGTGTGTGTGTGTGTATTGCTGTGCCTCTATGTGATGTGTATTTGTCCCTTTCATGTGTGTAGCTTCCCTGTGTGGTTCTCTTATATTTCACTGTCCTCTGTGTGTTACTGTTTCGTTAAATGTGTCACCTCTGCAGGAGTCTTTGCAGTTCTGTGTGTACTTGTGACTGCATGCATGTTTCATTCTTTATTTCCGTGTCACACACACACCTTTGTCCCTCCCTTTAATGTTTGTGTGTGTGTTTGAATGTTTAGGAGGACATGCCGTTGACCAGGCTCCTCAGCTGTTTGACCACAGTCTCTATCAGCTTCTGTTTGTCTCTGTCGTTCTTCCTGAACTGAGAGAAGATGTTGTTCTTCTTACTCGTGTCCTTCATCCTGTACAAACAAACCCAGAGACAGTAAGATTACAGAGATGCTGACTAATGAGCTTATATCATCTATAATACATAATGCCATGAGAAGATTCAGAGAATGTGAATAAATGTCCATGTCATGAGTGTCTTCCACATCTGTGAAGGCTCCATTAATACTGAACAATATCTACACGTTTAGGAGCAACATCTGCTGCCATCCAGATAAAAACATTTTCAGGGAAGACCTTCATTTTTCAGTAAGACAATGACAAACTGCATTCTGATACCAGGGATTACAACGGCATGGATCTGTAGTAGAAGAGTCCTGCTGAGAAACTGGCCTGATAAAAAATACAGCCCTGAACTGTTGAGCAGCTGAAATCCTCTATCAGTCATAAATGGGGCATTTTCAAAACTCCAGAAACTGGTCTCCTCAGTTCCCAGTTACTCTTAAAATTTCAAAGTAATGACTAAGGCTATATTTTAAAATGTCTCTATTTTTAACAGTACACTGCTTTTCCTGCACAAATCCAATACATTTCAAAGATTTTACAAAAGCAAGAGGAAGCTGCACCTACCCCCTGTAGACTCTGAGCAGCAGCAGAAGCAGAAAAACAGCACAGAAGAGAGGGTTTAGAGGAGCAGAGAGAGAGGAGAACAGGCCCAGCAGCTACAATCATTTCAAGGTAGGGCTGGGCGATATGGGAAAAAGTTTATCACTGTATTTTTTTTTCATATCAGTTGATATCGATATATACTGCATCACAATATAAAAAATCACTTGTCAATCTTAAATGTTCCCTGTTACTCTTAAATGAAATTTAACAGTGCTTATTGGTAGCATGTCTTTTGCAATACAATAAGCTACTGCATCTGTGAGGTCTTTGTGTTTCTTTGACGTTTTGTCGTAAGGCGTTGCACTCGAGAAAGCGGACTGAATGGTCAGCTGTTTTGGCTGCACAGGCGCCATTGGCTGCCTCGCACTTGCTCTGCCTGGGGTTTGTAACCTTTTGCATTGCGCCTGCTCAGGTGGTGAAAAAGGTTTGAGGTATTCCCCGACTTAACGAGAACATGTACTCAACATAATTTGCAGTGCACATTACTCTGCTTCATGTCTGACCTCAAAAAAACAAAATACCTTCACACCACTGACGTTTTTGTGCCAGTGTTGTCGACGATATCATCATCTGTTGGGCCTTCATCTGCATTTCTGCCGGGGGTAGCACTTATTTTCCTGTTTTCTCACCTACAGTGCTGTCGGCTCCACGTGTTAAAGTGCTATGATTGCATGTAGCTGCATCCTGCTACTACGCAGTTGTTCGCTACTTGGTTCTAATTCAGCACATGATTGGTTCAGTGTGAAGCGGACCCAGAGAAACTCCCCTTTTCAATTGCTATTCGCGTAATCTACCAAAACATGGCAGAATGCCGACTATTGAAAAAGCATATTGACCATGTTTTATATCGATATCGGGCGAAATTAATTTTTGACATACATAATTATCGTTTTATCGCCCAGCCCTATTCACAAAAAGCCTGTGTTATAATGAATGATCTAATGTTTGAACAGTCGGTGTGGATCATTTTTAAATGTTCAAGTTTTGACTGAACACATTTTCTATACACAGAAAAATATGTAGAACAGTGTAACAGTACTGGAGTTCATCATCACTCTAAGTGAAACAAGTTTCAGGTTCATAAATTTAGCCTAAAGGTTTATCTTTATGCACTAAAGCAGCACACCCATATCCTTACATATCCACTGTCAATGTAAGCTGTCTATGACTTCTAAAAATACAAATACTCATGCTATTAGCTGTGTGACAGCGCAACAAAGTCTTACTTCTCCAGCAGAGCCAGGGCTGTGGCCGGGTTCACTCTCAGGTATTTGGAAGTTGGCTGGCCGTAGTCCGCCAGATAGGTCGACCAATCCCACACCATGAAAAGATCTAGGAGCTGCAAAACACACAGAGAAATACAATACTTCAAATCACTGCAAAAAGGACCAGTACCCACATTTCTCTGCTCTGTTCTAAGTCTTCTGACAGTATGTGAGTTTTTTACACCTCTGTACCATTACTGTAGGCGATACTTGAACAGGCCACCTGAGTATACTTACGCCTGCCCAAGTACATTTGTCAACTCTCTACACACCTTTTTCTTAATTGTTACCCAATTAGCAACCTGTGAGCTTATTGATCACAGTGTGCACCACAGATTTTACAAACTAACTTACTAATCCACTAAAACCAGTATGTTTTGGAAGAGTCAATACCACAGAGAAGGGCTGACCTTGGCTGAGACGTGAGGTCACAGTGAAATGCCTAAGAACACAATCTTTATTTTCCTTCTAAGCTGTATTTCTCTGCATTGAAGCCTTTATTAGAAAAGAGAAAGGAAATGCAGAGAATAAGGAATAACATACAGCAAGAGTGTGGCCAGGGATCAAAGCAACGACTGCTGCGGTGAGGGTGATAGACTCTTAACATTAGACGGCCAGGCTGTCAGCACCCCACAGAAGACAATCTAAATAGTCATAAAAACCGCCTGTGTGGACTTGCTCTGCACCCCTTATCTATATTTGTGGATAGTATATACATTCTCCGCTGGTTAGTCTTGTAAAACACGTGAACTGCAGAGTGATACTTCACGTTGAATATAAACAAACCTGACCACAATCAGACCTCTTAACATGGTGTTGAGCCACCCTAAATTACTGCAGGGGAAATTCATTACCGCAACAGCCCTGATTAACAGTTTGAACACTTGCATGGTTAAGATAAGTGAATATCTGACTGAAGTTGACGAAAGCTGTTACTTGCAGCTCTGAGCATCATTTTGAACACTGTGGAAACAGATCTGCAAGTGTCAGAGCTCTGTTAGCTGCTGCACAGCCCTGACTGCTCTACAGGTCCATGTATAAGTGAATAAATGATTCAGAGTTGATGGCTGGGGAGTTATTATGAGCCTCCTTACTTTATTCTGTAAGCTAACAGGAACCATTGAGTGGTGCAAATCCTAATCCTGGCATGAGTACAGAAACCTTTCAGGATGTTTTACCTCTACGAGCAAACAGAGTGAGAGCTGGTCTGGGTCAGGGTCAGAGAGTAAGATGATGGTGAACACATGTTTTTCTTTGGTTCTGTCTTACACAGGAGAGAGACAGTAAGAGAGGGATGAAGAGAGAAAAGAGAGGAGGGGGTTCTGCTTTGACGAGATGAGTTTTAAGTGTGAACAGGAACGTTAAAATGACCCCCACACGACCCCTGGTTAACCTGATGGAGATGACCCCCCTACCCCACCCACACACACAGTGCATGCTAATGTCACAGGGTGAAACAGCTGGGTGTTTGGGTCATGTTGAAAGAGCAGTGAAAGAAGAGCTTAGTGATAATAGCATTATTCAGCTGAGTGAGACTCCGACACACTGAGAGGCTTAGCTGCAGTGCCATTATTCTCACCTGGAGCTAAATGATGAGCCGCAGCTCACTCTGACGCTCGCTTAAATCTCAGCAGCTCACAACAAGTCACTGGATTTTAAGATTTCCACGGGTGTGTGGGTGTGTGTGAGATCTTTGGTTTTAATGTAGCCTTCATAATAACGCGGAGAGCATGCACTCCCTTCTGCTGTGAGGACATTAATGATCAAATTAGAGGTAATCACTAAGGCTGTCGGATCCTGCATGATTACAACATAGGGATAGTTTCAGTTACAGTGCCGAAAGACACCAGTTTAAAATGTATAAGAAGTTTATTAAGCTGGAAACTTTGGCTGTCCCAGACTAACATCATGAAAAGGAAGAATGAGTACAACCGGTTGTCTTTGAACAACTGTGTCCAAAGTAGTGAGAACTTTTTCCAGTGCTCTGCAGTCAACAAACATCAGTGGAGATGCAGCAGGGCCCTCTTGATCTTGACTTGATCTGCACAGTAATCACAGCTCTGATCTGCCTTTTGATTGTGTTTGGACAAGAAGAGGGAGATGGACTGCAGTCTGGATCAAACCCAGTCCCACTCAAGAGAATGAGTACTCCTTGATTAAGGTTGGTAATGTTTACAGGATTTTGGCCCGTCATGAACACTTTGATGGTGGCTCTGCGTGATTACAAAAGAACCCGCATCAGACTGAATCAAAGTTTGCCTGGATGAACCGTGGTGTATGAAAGAAAGCCTCTTGACTTGCTTATATTTGAAGCAGTTCTCAACGTAAAGGATGCAAAAAAGCAAGACAGCTTTTTGCTTTCCTTTTCAAACTGAGGTCTTTTTCTAGGCCAGACTGCTCAGTGGAAATACAGCTTTAGAGGCTCTGTGCGTGTGTGTGTGCCCATGTGTGTGTTTGTGTGTGTGTGTGTGTGTGTGTGTGTGTGTGTGTGTGTGTGTGTGTGTGTGTGTGTGTGTGTGTGTGTGAGTGTGTGTTTGTGTAACTGTCTTGTAAAAAGGTCAGTGTGTCCTGGAAAGATTTACTTCAGGACATAATGTCGAGCGTTTGCTCCAAATTCCAGCAGCTCACCTCTCGATACAACTTGACTGCCTTTTTTTCCGACACGTGTGTCTGTAGTTAAGTTTCATTTGTTGAATATATCTTTAGCTTTTGAGTCCAATATTGGACGATAAAGAAGAATTCAGTCACTCTTGGCTTTTTATTGACAATACCAACACATTGCGCTCATCGCTGTGACAACTGTGTTTTTTTTTCATTCCTGCAGAAATGTTGAGGTGGAGAAGATATCACAGGAGGCCTTTTTTAGGCTCTGCTTGAAGCCATGTTCTTCACTCTCATATTTTCACATGTACATCAGTGATGATGATGGTCTTCTTCTGATGAGTGCTGCTACAAGTGTATTAATCTGGACCACTAACACACTAAAATATACCTGGAGGAGTCCTGGATAATTCTGCCGCTCCTCAGCAGGTGAAAGTCTCTTCACTCCTGACTTTGTATCAGTTGTGAGTGTTCTCTTTTTTCTTTCAGGGAGTGTCTGAATAAGATAGACCCAGTGTTTAAAGACCTTAACCCTGCTCAAATCATAGACTTATGCTTCTGACCAATGATATTAGACGGATAAATTGCTGGACTGTGCTGATGGACAACAGGTGTAATGCAGGTATTGCTGTGCTTTGAGTTATTCAAACTCTCTCCTGTTGTCTCCCTCTTTAAAAAAGTGTGAGTGTAGGCGACCAGGAGACCGAAGAGGGAGGAGGGACGATCCTGCTCCAGCACAGTCCAGGGCAGCTGTGCCTCGTGTGAGCATGTTCATGATCCACGCTGTTCTGTTTGTCTTAAATATTGTTCTTGCTGTTTAAAATTAATCATCACTGTCAAGAGGGTGTCCAGGAGTTTTGGCCAATCAGAATCAAGTATAAAACACAGCTGGGTCATAAAACCCAATATAAGACTATTAGTTATGGTGTGGAAGCGTCTTCATCAGGATTTGTTTCAGGTCGGGACAGCTTAGCATGAACTCTGCAGCTCAGCAGCATCGCACACAGACCTCTGAGCTGAAAAACAAACTTAACAAGGTATTTTTTTCCTCAAGCCTGCTGGTTATCCTCCAGCGTTGTTGAAAACACACATCATTTGCCTTGAATGTTTGACTCTAAATCACTCCTAATGGTCACAGGATAAGGATCTAAAAAGCACATATAGCTACAAAATCAGCAACCGTTAGATAAAGGGAAAGTAAGAGGCTGACCTCTGTGTAACCTCGGCCTGTGGATGACTCCCAGCCTCTTTACCTTTAGGCTAGGATTAACATGTCAGCCCAGCAGCCTCTATACAAAGACTATGGTCACATCTTTTGTGTAATGAGCTGCATTGCACCAAATTTAACTATCACAGTGAAAATAAGCCAGGTAAGGCTCTCAGGCTGTGTTCTTTAGGGACTTTTAGCCACACAGTGCAGGATTTGACTGTCCACAGTCAACAAACTGTATTATTTTTAAGAAACTCTTTTGGATAAAAAAATAACGTCACTCAATAAAACTTTCAATAACGTTTTAAGCCAATTGATTTTAAAGACAAAGTTCTGTTTTAACTCTGACTTACCTGTTTTAATAGTTAAAGTGTACTCTTTATACACACTGAACTATAACCTTGGCTGTAAAAGACAAAATCAGCTGAAGGTCTGTGTGAAAACTACTTAAAAGGTCACCATAGCAACTAATTAGGATAGAAAACTATAAGTATAGTATCGATCTGAATACAAGAGTTAACATGAATACAAGGATTAATTGCAATAATTATCAGGAAAAAAGTGGGAAGTTGAGATTCTGATGTGTTAAATGGAAAATGTTGTTTTATATAACTTGAAATGACATTTTCACTGTGAAACATGATAAAAATATGATCACATGTGCCTCTGATGGGTCTGCAGACCAACTCAAAGATGGCAGCCTTTCTCTTGTCCCTGGATGTTACAGAAACACACAAAGTTTATCCCCATAGCTGCCTCACAAAGCCAGTGGACTTAATAGTAACTCAGTATCTCACATCATTCCATTTGTAAACACAACAGCGTTACTGAACCCTGTATATAAGATGACCCCACTTAACTCTGATGGATTTCAAGGAAGGTTTTAAGCTGACAATGATGGTGACGTGGATGTGATGAAGCTACAGTTTCCTGGCGCCTGTTTGAAGCATCTGAAACCACATTTACACTAAGCCAAAAAAAAAAAAACAGACTGTAAAGCAAAAATGAACATGTTTACAGCCTGGTTCAAAAAACAGTTTGGATCTGAATAACTCAGTTCTCTTTCCACACACGCTGTACAGGGAATTAATTTTTTTAAGCATCAGTATTGAAGATTATAAGGATGTAAATTTGGAAATCAGAAACACGGCTGACTTGACTGATACCAGAGGTTCATACCAGAGGTTTCTGGTCCACTGAAAATGAACTATTGTCCTTTTTCTTTGGCTGGTCCTGCTCCTAGTTTGCTTAAGAATGAGGGTTCTAGTTTGCCTCTAAACCCACCCTAGTACGGTTTGTTTAATATCCATGTCTAATCCTCAGTCACCTGTCTGATGAGGCACCAGTTTCAGGCTAATAAAGGGTTATTTTGTCACCTGTATACCATCACATGCAAGCCCCTCTACACTTTTGTGCCTTTTCATGACTTAAACCCAAAAATGAATGGCTTCTATGAGGCTGTTTTTACCACTTCGATTCAGCTCACGTTGTTCTGGCTGTAAAAAAATCTTCCCATTTTCATTTTCCAGTCTCTCCTTTAACAAGCTCTCAGAGTTTCAGTGTGACCTGGACTGGAGGGCAAAGCCGAGCCTCCCTAAGGCTCGGATTAACAGGTCAACACAGAAACAAGTTAATGAGACCCAGCAACACTTTACATACCACTGGTGTTTACAGCAGAGAGGGAGGCAGACACTTTGTGCCTGTGTGTGCTGAAATAGGAATTTTCTTGAGCAGGTGAACTACAGGACAAGTGAAAGTTGAAAAGGTCGCCAAACACATGCCGATGAAACTGAACACTGCTGGATGTGACGCAGGAAAGAGTCAGGCTACAGAAACTCATTTTTAACCCTGTTCCTGTCATTCTTGGCGTCTATCCAAAGGGACATAAAATTAAACACGAAGAACAGATATTTGTCAACTTTTGTCTTTTACATGCCAAAAGATCAATAGCATTAACATGGAAAAGTCCCCATGGACCAAGAAGTGGACAGTGGCTTAAGAAAATGTCAAGATGTTTACCTTTGGACAAAATCACATACACATTTAAAGATAAGCAAGAACAGTTTCGACACATCTGGGGCCCATTTATAAATTGGAGACAAGGACTTATCTAGTATGTTGGACATAGCTAGGGAAGTTTAGTCATTACCTCTGCAATTGAACTAATTCTTTACTGATATTTACAAAGCATCTTATGGTACACGATGTAGGTTTTTAAGAGTCGCCTCCATGGGGAATTTGTTTATTTTTTTTTGCTGTTGATGTTGTTTAATTATACAGGTTATACTTTACCACTTTTATTTGTTAATTTACATATATGTTTATGTTTACAAGTGTTTATCTCCATTTATCTTGAATATTCATGATGTATGTTTGAGCCATCCTCCTTCAACATTCGCATATAAATTTGTTTTCATATGTTTTTTGGAAAAATGGACTCTCACGGACAGTCATACATATCTAATGTGTCTGCTATTTTTGATACGGTTGAAAATTCAATAAACAGATTGTTAAAAAAACAAACCCTGTTCATGTAAAGATGTGAACTGCAGGATTGATTCATTAGTCCATAGAAAAAGTCTTGATATGGTTCAAGTCTGTGAACACAGATGAGGCCTATTTTCATGCTGCTCAGTGAGAGAGCTTACCTGTCTCAGGTCGATGAAGGCCAGCTGGAGAGTGTCTCCTTGAAATCCAGGGACCGGCTCTGAACTGGCAAACACTGAGGAGAGGCAACAGTCAATGATGAGAAAACAGCACATGCTGCACCTGCAGGCTGGTAGGACAGAGACTAGAGGTCAGTTTTGTGTTCAACCTAAAACATATGATTTTGCACTGGTGAACAAACTTCATGATTTCAACACGACTTTATCTTTTAAATGGAAGTGCTGCTGTATCAGGTCATACATGCCAATACATTTGCATTATTAGGCCAGATTTTTAGGGTCTGATTTACCCCCCCACAATGATCGGACAGGATACCCCAACATATTTAGTCCTAGAAAATAATCCAACATGTCAAGATTATATGATAAATGACACTGTAGGAGACAAAAGAAAGCTGTATTGATCTTAGCTGCAGAAGAGTGTTGAAGTTTCACAGTCTGACAACTTAGTTTGCACAATTTGCAGATGACATGTAATGATTATATCTCTGAAAATGAAAACCCCCCGCTGTCTTCACACTTACATTCACACTGGATGACGTCTAAGTTGAACTGCTGAATGGCCCCCATGCTAATCTGTTTGAGTTCTGTGTCCAGCAGCATCTGCATCAATGACGTGGACAAATGCTTGCAGGCCGACATGCAAGCAGTCTGGGCGACTTTACCCTGCAGAAAGGACAGAGAGGGAGAAAAGGAAACAAGGGAGGTGACAGAGGGAGGGAGGATGCAAGGATAAAGAAGTAAAAACAGATTTGGGGAATAAAGAACAAGAAGGCACAAAAAGAAACTGTTAACTCCACCTTGAAGTGTCAATAAGCATCATTTAAGGAACACAACGGGCACTTGGCTGGGCTACTCCAGATGATAATCACAGTTATTAATGATGACACTAAGGTCGTAGTTATTAAAGACACTTCGTCATGATTCGACTCCTATGTCAGATGCTTTAACTGAACTTAAACTCTTTTGGCATGTGAACAGTCTGAAAACTTTAAACTGTGAAAGTTCATAAAAGAGTTATCGATATATCATCTCCCTTCTCGTGCTCACGCTGTCCCTCTGTTTTACTAACACACGCCAGCTCCTCCTGCTCCTCTCCTCTCTCTTCACCTGTGGCTGCATGATGGTTTGTACTGCTGTAGCTCAACAGCTTCATGAAAATGGACTCATTTTCAGGCATCTGCAGCACACTCCCAAACTGTTTTACACAATAATCCGAACCCATAACGGTGACGTTTAAAGAGAGTTGTTTAAAAAAAAAAATTCTGGACAATTTCAGGAGCCCTGCAACAAAAAGTGCACATGTGCCTGGAGGAACACCTGGTACTGCAACATGCATAGACATCCACCTGATCTTCAACAAAACTGATGTGAGTCTCTGCTGCAAATGAACCAAGAGATCCATTTCCCTGAGCATTAGCAGCAATGCGACCAAACACTGGTAGGGAAACACCCAGTGTCTAGAACATTATGCAAAGATACTTATTAATATCCGTCCACTTCTGACCAACACAGCTGGATTGGGCACTGGGGACATTTCTTTAGTCTGCCTGTATCAAGTTTACAGAAAATGGTCAAAACAGAGTTGAACAGCAGAGAGATACATAGTTTGTGACTTTCAGAGATAAATGACAGCCCAGCTCTCACACACACCCCTGTACCAGGTATCCTCAGGTTCACATCAGTGTGCATGAAACTACAGAGCAGTGATCCGTATCAACATGTAATGTGGATACAAGTTTCTATGGTAACAATCAATCACAGTGACAATGAACAGATCATTCAGAGAGCTTTCAAGTTCCAATCATGTGTTCATTGAAAACATCACATGAATCAAAAACCACTGAACCCCAAATGCATGCATGTGAGCACAACAAACCAATGATGAACACATGAACACACCACAAACATCCACAGACTCATGTTTACAACACAGGTGTGAGCATTTTCACCACAAAGTGGTCAGAGGATTGTGAGGGAGTAGATTTTCACTCACAGCCCACTTTGAAAGAGAAACTCTGAATGGAGCTGTTTGTCTCAGTTAGTGTTTGTGCTGAACAGAAAGTACAGGGCAGACCAACACAACCCACTCCCACAGATACTCATGCAGAAAAGGTTTCTACCCTGGGATGATGTGGTGCCCCCCCACTGTCTGAGATGATGTAGTTTTATGAAGTTACACAAGGAGAAACCTCAGTTAAAAACTGTACTGAAGCTAATCAATTTCTGCAATGAAGTTTTGGGCAGCAAAGATGAGTCAGTGACAGGAAATTAGAAAATAGTTATATGGACCATAAAGAGTCACATGTGCTTGATAGAAAAAAGTTTGACTGATATGCAGCTCGAATCCAGAAAAGCTGACATGTTAAAGACAGATTTTGGTGGAACACAAATAATTAAAAACATGTTCTAAATGAAAATGGAGCAAAGCCAAAACATAAGATGTTGAAACCGGAAACATCAATGTTTCTTTTTTTTTTTCAAAGGCTTATTTTAATGCTCCCAACATCTTCTTGAAAAATTAAGACAGCAACAACACATAACTCAAAAAATTGTTAGATGTTGAAAAAAAAACACCTATCGGAGCAATTCCCAATTAATGAGTTTAATCTGCTACTGGTCAGTAACATGACTAGGTATGAAAATGAGCTTCAGAGAGGCTGAGTCTCTCAGAAGGAAAGATGGGGAGAGGTTTACCACTCTGTGAGAGACTGAGTGAGTTAATAGTTCAACAGTTTCAGAATAAAATAGTTCCTGAGTGTCAAATGTGAAAGAATGAGTGGATTTCATCATCTATAGTACATAATATCATTAAAAGATTCAGAGAATCTGGAGAAATCTCTGTACTAAAGGGACAAGGACCAAAACCAAGACTGAATGGTGCAAATTTTCAGGCCCTCAGTCAGCACTGCATCAAAAACAGACAGGACTCTGGAGAGGAAATTACAGCATGGACTCAAATAACTTTCAAGAACCACTGTCTGAAAACGTACTTTGATACAGCATCCACATAAATGTGCAAAGAGACAGTCCTTTTCATATATGCATAAAACATGAAAGTATTTCAGTTTTAACTTTTATTTGTTGTCTTTGCACTATTTCCAATTCATTTTAGGCTTTAAAATTCAGTTTTAATGAGCATTTTGAACAGGGGCCCTATGTTTATAATACAAGGGTTACACATACATATATATGTATACTGTGTATAAATGTGCTGTGTGCAGTTTGTAGATGGCTTCTCTGTGTCTGAGGACCACAACATCCCTTTTTCATGCTGACAGTTGACTGTCACAGGGCAGTGGTACATGTAGTGACAGAAATAGGAGTTGGACATTTACTGAGCATGTATCACAGCTTAGCCTGATGGCTGCAGATACGTCACATCACATCAGCTGTTGACTCTGCACAGATTGGAAGCCAACCTGCGGACCACTCAAACACAAATGTGCCACAAGAGGTTCATGCTCATGCTAAGACTAAGACTGAACGTAAAACAGCTGCCAAAGTAACAAATCTCCGTACAGAAGGTGAGTAAGTATCTTTGTATACCTCAAGGTTTTGTCCTTTGTAAGCTGCCGCTTTTTGAAATGTGAAAACTTAGCATTTTTAACTTTTACAGGGTTGTTAACTAGTTTGTGGGATTTCTTGTCTGATCACTGAGAGCAAAAGTAGAGAAGTTTTCGGACCAGGCCACCAGAACTGCCATCAGCCAGGGAGAGTTAGAAAATCAGCTGAATGTTTTTTCTGAAGAAATCCTCAAAGTAAGAAAGCTCGACCCTTCAGTCAAAAAGAGGAATGGAAAATGAGAAAATGAGACAGAGAAGATGATTTGTCAAATACAGCTTCTCACCAACACTGAGGCTCATTCAGACTTCCCATCATGCAGCTACAGAAGTGTACAGGCTTGTTTCAGATATAATAAGCTAAAACTGTCAATGGTTCCAACTTCCATCTATTTATATTACAATTTAGAATATAGTTAATATTGCAGTCAGTTTAATCTAAATTATTCAGCCTTAGTCTGCATGTATTTGCACACAGGGTGGTAGAGCGGGAGTCAGAATTATTGTAAAAAGAAACCATTGGATACGAGGTTGTGAAGAGTAACTTCAGCCAGTACCCGCGCAAACACAACACAGTCACTTGGCTCATACATGTATACACCTGAGATGGGGATCATGTGTCAGTCATAAATGACCCGACTTTTACAGCTGACTCTTGGAGTCAAAATGTACTTTGAAGTAGATTTAAGAACCAAAAGAGCTGTTAAACGCTGTCCCAAATGATCTGGAGCACTGAAAAAAAAAAACAAGAAATTCCCATCACCAGGAGCTGAGGTTGTTTACCTGAGAGACAGAATGGATCTGATCTGACGAGCTGATCTGCTAAGGCTGTGGAGAAACGATCTTGACTTTGAGTCAAACAGTCTTTCTGTGGCTACCAAGTTTATATTTATTTTCTTTGATTTCTTCTTTTTGTGGGGTGGAGGGCGAGGGATTTGGGTTCAGCCTCCAATGTCAACAAGGAGTGAGAAACGCCCCTGGACAGGCACTGAGATCACCGCTCTCTCAGTCGCATTTTCATTGAATCTCCAAGTAAGGATAATTTGACGTTTATGTTAATAGAGGCAAAAATGCCAAACAGCAAATCTAAAGCTGATGTCGCCCCAGTAGCCGGTTATGTCTTCATAACATACAGCTGGAAACAACTGAAAAGGATAAAGCAGCACTGAGGCAGAGAGGGTTACAGTACAAAATGAACACTGCACCTCTCAGCTAACTTCATCGCTCATATTTTAGGTGATGACTTCGATCTGTAGCGGAGAAAATCTAAATACGACTGACAAATTTTAAATGTCCGACAGAATTTCACAAACAATTCCGTCTTTTCTAAGTTTTTGTTATCAGTGAAGTATTTCAGCTCGTCTTCATCATAACAAAAACTAATGAACTGTCATCAAAGTTCATGTTCTGACTTTAGGGCACTTTACAGAAGTTCCCCTGTTTGCGAATGTAACTGGAATGAACTTCAACCAACTTTCTCTCTTTTTCATCATGTGTCTACAAGTAAAAAACATAATTAACTCATGATCTAATTTTAATGATCCCCTAATTTTATCCATATTTCAGAGAGGTGAGATGAGTAAATAAGATTCTTAGCCAGCATCTGGTCTTCCTCTGAGACCTTTTCTCCAGCTTTGACTCTATAATAGTGACCCCTTCATGATTGAAGACACATTCTTCAATCTTCAGCCTAACAGTTAGACAAAGTGCCAGAAGATCCAACAAGCCTGGAGAAGTCAAACAACAGCATGCTTTTTCATCTCCACTCTGCCTGGAGACAGGTCGGCAGCATAGTAAAATAACAGCCAGGCAGGAATACTCACCGACATCGATGCATGGTCATTGTTGTTATTCTGAGCAGAGACACCCCCAAACCAACCAAAAATGGAAGAGGGGGAGGGAAAGAGGGAAAGGAAAGGAAAAGAAATGTGCCAACAATAAATGGACAGGAGGAGGTAAATTCAGCTAAAGATATATTGCATGCTTGACAAGTCAAATGAATCAAGGAGTAAAACTGCTGGTAAAAAGAAATCAGCTGCTGTTAATCACAGGGGGTGTGCACGGGGGACAGGACACATAAAAATCAAATCAAGTAACTGGAGCTCATTCAAGACACGACAAGAGATGTTCAAAAGAAGAGGAGGCAAAAGACTGAAGATGATGATATGAGGGCCAGAGCACTCAAAGTCCTCCACACTCTGATCTTACACCAAGTGTTGGAATCAATGTTGGAGTGTGTGCGTAAGCTGCCTTCAGCTCAGACACATCCCACTTCACATGCATACAACATACAGACCACCGATGAATCGCCCACACTCAGTTTAAGTTGAAAATCTGCAGTGGAGCAGATCCGCTTTAAACTGCAGACTCTTTGTTTGGGGACGTGAGAAGCATGTAGTGAAGCAGCAGAAAAAAGGTGAGAGGTGTGGTGGGAATAAAAGGAAATAAATCAATGGGTGGATTGATCGCATCCTAGCCAATCAAATAAAACAATCAACACCCACATGAGATTTAGAGGAAGCACAAACCAATGTTCAAGGGAGGGGGAGAGGTGGCTGACTTGATGGGTGAGAGGTTGGTAGGTGGATAAGACTCACCGGGAGGTGTGTGAAGACCTGGAACGTGGAACGCAGGAAGTTGATCAGATCCATGAGGTATCCAGAGGCCCGGCCGTCCGACTCAGCCATGCCCCACTCATAGTCTGCCAGCTGGATAAACTCATCAATCTTCTGGTTGAGTTTGGTATAAATCTCCCCCTCTGCAGCGTGACGAGCATCCTGCATGTAGTAAGCATTTGAAAAAGACACATCAAGATATGATGGCTAGGGTTTCAAACTTCACTACATCCAATTTCAAAACCATTTGTCCTCTGTTACTTTGTAATTCGGTCTTGGGAGTTTATAGTCCATCAGGTCATGTGTCCCATTACAAATACATATACAGGTACATTGGAGACCACAAGGAAAAGGGTGAGAGTCAAAGAAAATCTAGCAGGGGGTCAACTAAAGAGCAGTTACTTCATTCTGGTACCTATCCAAAATGAGCCCTCAGAATAAAAGCGACACTAGCAGATCAGGCTTTTACTTTGAAAATCAGAAAAAAGGCATCAACAAACTGCGCAAGTGTCACCAGAGACCCAGAAGAGGCCTCATGCTCCACCCATCCTTACCTTGAATGTGGACAGACCGTAGAGCCTGGTGGTGTGGACTGTTTCAGGGGAGACGTTGGTGATGTTTGTTATGAACTCCTCCAGATACCTGCAGGCCTGCTCCAAGTGGGTGGTGTTAATGATGATCTGCACGAGCTGCAGAGAGAAGGTGAATGTTTTAGACTGAACAATAGTCCTGCAGGGTGTTTGTGGTCTGTGTCAGTGGGGTGTTTGTACCTCAGTCAGTCCTATGTGAGGTTTCTTGATGAGGTTCTGCAGACAGCTGCTGAGTGTTCTCGTCAGGAGCAGGTTGGTTGATTTTCGCAGCATGTCATCGATCTCTGTTGAACTGAAAATGTTAAAAAAAATGGTGGTTAGCAGGTTGCTTGCTGAGTGTTGTGGTCCACATGGAGTAACCTTTGCTAGAGACCAACCTGCGGTGTAGCGACTCTGAGAACTTGAGGCTGGCATAAATGAACTCTTTGACCTGTGTGTAGATCTGTGGGACAGACTGAGACATCGGCAGCTTCTTTGGAAAGTCCTGCTGCTCACACAAACATAAAACACAAAATACAATCAAACCTTGTCTTTTTGTTCACAATCTCATAACTTCAAAGAATTTCTTTGACAGAGGCATGAGAAATTACTGAAGAAAATGATGCTTTTGGTGAAGGAGCCTCTCCTCTACATGCAAAATAAACCTTTCAATACTGAGGAGAGGGTGTCAAATTTTAGGACTGTGATTTTCAGGTTTTCACCTTCTCGATCTCAGCATCGTGGAATGGAAAGCGACTGACCACCAGTTTATACTCCTCCTCTGTCTCTACTGGGATTGGACTGTAGTTATCCAACTCAAAAATCTCCCTGTGGAAAAGAACGACACTTACTGTTACTGCAAACCTGAATGTCTTTCACTTTATCAAACACGAACTTTGACGCTGCTCTGTACTTTAATATATAAATATAATGTTATAATTTGAGATATCTATACTGAACTGTGGCAAACATTCGTCATTCATTGTCTTTCAGTACGGTGGTTGTTAACTGTGGACTTATACCTGTAGTTTAAGGTTGGTGCTAATGTCACACACTGACATTTCAACACAACTCACCTAAACACAAGCGCCCACTTCTTCAGCAGGGTTTCGTTATACTGGTCTCTGACCTCGAACAGCAGGTCAAACAGCCGGTTCACGGGGAAGCCATAACCCTGTTCACACACACACACCACAAACACAAACAAAGACAAATACTGTATCTAATCTTGCTGCTTTTTGCTCTTCAGATGCTCATGAAGAAAAGATCTGAACCAACCTGTAGTGTGTCCGCAAATATGACGATGAGGTTCTTCAGCTCAAGGACCAAGTCTGGGTCGTCACAGTATGACTGGAGACAAGAAAATCATCATCATCAGTTTGTGTATAATGTTGCCATGCCTTAGAGAAAGGGTCTGCCATACCAAGTTACAATGAAATGTCAGCATTATTTTTTAAAACACATTCCTATTTTGTACAAATCTTCACCCTCCGTATTATAAGCTGCTCTCCAACTACAAAATAAACATTTGACTTGAACCCACCACTTATAAAGCATTATTTGCACATTAATCAAGACTTATCAATCCATCTTTAAGTCTTTATAACAATGTGAATAAAGTGACAGAATAATACGCTTCAGAGAAGGATGACAGAGAACAGGGGAGTTAGAGGATGGGGGGAAGGGGACTCAAACAAGGGTCAATCAACACCAACAAGGTCCCTCCATTTTTCTGAGGGTACAGAGTGATTTATGACCCTGAAAGCAGCACAGTGAGTCCTACAAGCTGACACAGGGATCCTGCTAACACTGGAGTGTGTAAATCAACAGAGTAAATGAACGCAGGCTGAGATCTGACGGAAAGCAGCGGCCGCCTGCCTCTCTGTTTACTCAGACACAAACACAGAAAACACTCACTACCAGCTGGAGACGGACGACACGGCGCACCTCACAGGTCAGGGGGATTTGATCAGAGAGATTGTACCAAAGGGTGTATTTTTATTAAAACTGCACTCACAGCTTGTACTGATAACAAAAATGTGCTTCCTTCCTCTGCATGTCACTGTCTATACACATTTTCTATTGCTATGCACTACATCATGTGCTGCTTCAATCTGATTGGTTGGTCTGGATGATCACATTCAGTTATTCTAGACCAATTGATCAGGGTCAGCTAATCTAATAAGGCCGGGCTAACATCAAACTTCAATGCTGCTCTCTTCTCACTCGTCCACATGCTGTTTAAAAATCCATTTCCTGTAGAGGTACACTTATGAGTCCGTTTGAGAGAACTGGCATGTTGAACCAGCTGTGATCTGGAGTACCACGATTTATGTGCCATAAGGTTTTGGACCTCCTGGTAGCTTTTCAGTGACTCATGGGCAGGTTTGGATAAGACTTTCCCCTGTGGGTCGCTCATGCAGTAGTTGTAAGGGCAGGACCCCGGCAGAGTGGAGCTGCCTGTGTCATGGCCCAGCAGAGGGGCCAGAGACCGAGAGGTGGAGGGGGGGCACCAGGGCTTTTGTTAGTGTTCTCACCCCAAGCTGTGCAGCCCATTCTCTGGCCTGTTAGCATAATCCTCTGGGTCATTTACAACTGAGTGGAGCCCAGCGGTCAGGAATATGCCTCCTTAATCTGCTGTTATTGTTGCAATCTGTCTCTCATTAAGGCCCCAATGACCTCCTCTACGGCCGCATGCGTATGTGTGTTTTGACCTCTCCTCCTGAGAGTGACATCATTAGTGTGTTTGTAGGTGCACTGACCTCTGCAGCAGTGTGTGTGTGTGTGAGTGTGTGTGTGTGTGTGTGTGTGTGTGTGTGTGTGTGTGTGTGTGTGTGTGTGTGTGTGAAGCAGTGAGTGAAGTTTCAGCTAGGATAAATAGATCCACAGCAGGCTCTATTATCTCTATTAACTCTTAACAGCCACCTCCTCATTCACAGTACACTCCCTGCTGGCTGTGTGTGTGTGTGTGTGTGTGTGTGTGTGTGTGTGTGTGTGTGTGTGTCGTGGGCCTACAGAGTGCGTTCGGAGCACGGCGATGATCTTGGACAGCGCCATGTTCCACAGCTCATCGGTGAACGCTCTGGTCACCAGCCCCCGAGTTGCGTGTAGGATGTGATCTTCCACAACAAAGAAACTGAAAAAAATAAACACACAAAAACACACTCATTTAACACAACACTTGAACAGCATGTGAGGTTAAAGAGAAGTTTGACGGAGTCAGCAGAAAGAAAACCTCAGCGTCAGAGGAAAACCACGGTGGGCACAGAACAAAGGCAGCAGTGCTGAGAACATACCTCAGTGATTTTAACCTGCTGCTCCTCTGCATCACACTCCAAAAAGAGACGCTGCACCTGATCACTGTCCCGTCCTGTCAGTCATAATTCAGTGAGGTGCTAACTGAGCCCAATCACATCTACATGTCAAGATTCTACATCATCCAGTGTTGTTGTTTTCCAGTCCAGGACTCAGACTTAAATACTACTGCACTGGTCTAGAGCTGAACAAAGATGACTCAGATTTGTACCCAGACTTGAGAAGTGACTGTTTCAGGACTGGGAAGGAGGAGTAGGAGGACTCCCACTTATTCAATGATGTAGACTGGTGGGCATTTATACACCACACAAAGAGCTGTAACATCATTAATTATTTAAACCTCCAACCACAGCGACAGATCAGTTACAATCTAATGTAAGGAATTAGTTTGCTGCACATCCAAAAATGTCCCCAACTGTCACTTTAAGTCCCTACAGTCAAAACCTGTTTGTTGTCAATGATCGCATTTACAGTCAGGACTTTGACGAGACTCAAAAATCTTCTCTGGTGGCTCAAACTTAACTCAGACTGAAACACTGCAAACTCTAGACTCCAGTTTGTTGACCTAAAGATGTCACCGGCGTCATCAACAATCGTAGTTTTTCTTTAAAAGTGTAAAGCCATAAACAATTGATGAAGTTAGGCAAACAGGCGACAGGCTTGGATTTCTGATTGAGACTTCTAAGACGCTTCGTGTCAGTGTTTCTACAAAAAGCTTTCTGTGCACTCTAAAAATAAACATGTTGAGTCTGTAGGTGCATGCATACTGCATCTAACCTTGTTACATGGTGACAGAGAATCATACGGTGTGTCTATTTATGATGTTGGTATAAGAAACACTATAAATCAGGGGCTGGAAATTTCATGTCTGCTAAAAAAGACGACAAACTGAAAAGGACTTCTTACCCTACAATCTGATTGAAGTATCTCCTGTAGCCTTCCACTGTCTCATGCTGGACAAACACAAACAAAAAAGGCATGTTAAATCACAGAGAATGAATAATCATGACAATCTTGTGCTGCATGAAGGGCCTTAGCTCTTTAGATTTCATTAATATTCAACACGGGCACATTTCTGGATCAGTAATTGACAAAAACACCATCTCCTGAAGTGTTTCTCACCATGTTAGCCTGTGGCTGCAGCACCAGTCGGGCCTGTTTCTTCCTCTGCTTCCTGTAGTAGTTCTCAAATGTTTCCCGGTCCCCCTGCAGACCCCAAAGATATACAACAGACTCCATTTACTGACACAAAAATTACAGACAACGAGGGAAAAAATCCAAGCAGATTCAGGATTCTCTTTGTGTTCCCAAACATAACAGTGTGATTTTACTACTTTCAAAAATCTAATCTTTAATCTTCTATTTCCATTTATGAGAAAAATCCACTCAAAATTTTAGAGTAACATCTTTCCTTCATCAATATGTGCCCACAGCGCCCTCTACAGGACAGAATCCATCCTTTAACTAAAGCCGTGTATCTAATATTAGTCGATTCAGCTAAGTGATCGATACAGCTGTGAGATGTCAGATTAATTTATATGAACAGGCAAATAGAGGCTGCACAGTGATACACTGGACAGTTCTGTTGCCTCACAGCAAGAAGGTTCCTGGTTCAAATCCCCCAGACAGTCAGGAGCCGTTCTGTGTGGAGTTTGCATGTTCTCCTGCTGCATGCGTGAGTTGTCTGTAGGCGCTCCGGTTTACTCCCACAGTCCAAAAACATGCTCGTTAGGTTAATTGGTCACTCTAAATTACCCCTAGGTGTGAGTGTGTGCATGAATGGTTGTTTGTCTTCCTGTAATAAACTGGAAACCTGTCCAATAGCATCAGGGTTAGACCCCAGACCCCCAACACCCAGACTGAGAAAACCAGTAAACATGAAGGATGGATGGATGAACAGAGAGATGTGTAAGTAATGATGAAGAGGCCTTACATCAGTAGACAGTTTACTTTGAGTTACAAATACTACATGCCAGTTGACACCAGTTTGACCTTGTGGTTAAGTCCCACTCCACAAAGGCTGCAGTCCCAGTGCTTTTAAAAGCTACAATTTAGTCATTTCCATAAAGAATATATGATGTAAAAAACAAGGACTCGAGGTAGTGCAGAAATTTGTTTTATGCACATGCACCCAAAGATAGAATCTGAAGATATTTTTGGACGACTTTGTTTGAGTGTAAATAACTATCATGGTGCCACCCTGAAAACATAGTTGACAGTCTACAAGCCAGCTAATTACACTGACGGTGTTTACTCTGGTACAGCATAGGTCTCTAAGTAAGCCACGCAGGGACGTGATCCACTCAGTGAATGTTCAGCACAACCTCAGATCGGTCAGGGTTAGATACCAACTGACTGTTCTGCTCCCTCTTTGACCTGAATTTGAACCTTTTAAGTTTCTCTGGTTAAGCCATCAGTAAAGAGCAGAGGTCATGCAAATTGGCCTGTGAAAAGGTAATTTAGTGTGTGAGACAGACTGCAGGACACCTACCAGCACTGTGTAAATGTGTAAACACCTGTAGACAGGTGAGAAGTCCACCAGGTCCTGAGCCGTGAGCACCTGTCAACGAAGATGAAGAAACATGATCCCACTGATTCATCACGAATGAAAAATAATGTTTTCATGTTTGAAAGGACGCTTTTGACACTTTTTCAACACGATTCAAATAATTTAGCATCAGCAACGATACAGGGTGTAAACACTCAGAGGAAAGATATCTGGTTAAGATCACTTCATGTCGTACTAATCTACACTCAGGGCTCCCTCACCTCTTCGTCAGCCTCCTCCTCCTCTCCCGAGTCTTCCTCCATCATGAGGCCATTGTGAGTGTGTGTGTGTGTCCGTCCGTTCAGGGAGTACACAGGCTTGGTGTAGTGGCCTGTGCTGGCCTGTTTGGCTACAGCACTGTTGAAGGTCCTGTGCTGCTGGGCCTGAAAGGACAAACACAGACTCAGGTCCCTGGGCTGATACAGACCTCTCTGCAGCCGTTGGGGGATTTGTTAAAAACACCAATGCTCGCACCTGTCTCATGGCGGTCTCTCCAACTTTGTCGGAGTGTTTTCTGATGCTCTCCAAGAAGTCCTTGAGGTCTGACATGGAGATCTCTTTGATCTCCTCACGGAGTCTGGGCAGGTTTTCAGCCATGATCTGACAGAACCGGTACTGACTCACCCTGCAGGAAACACAGCGGGATGGATCATGATTGGACCACTTTGAAATGTGCTAAAACATACAAACAGCATGACTGAAACTCCTGTTGAAGAGAAATGCAGGACTACAGCAGGTAAACATAAAAAATAAAGAAAATACGCCACCTACAGATCATTCCAAGCTCAAACAACATTACTGGAGCATTATAGGAATATGGAAACATTTCCTCTTTGGTTTTGGAATTATATTGGGCCTTTTCCATTTAAAAACTCAAAACAAGCACAAGTATAAAGTGTGCTGTAATTTACCCAGTCCACTTTGTTAGACTTAGGAAAAGATCTTAGCCTTGGCCAACAAAATAAGAGCGGTACTGATAGTAGAGCTCTACATGTCTGGTTAAATAAAACGGAACAATTTTTTATGCAGACATGAAAACTTCACGTCAGTCTGCTTTCAAAACTACAACAAAGTGAAGTAAACGCTTTACCTGATTTAAACTTAAGTATAAGATAGTGAGACAAACTTCTCGTAAAAGAGAAAAACATACTTCTTTTACATATTTAAGAGAAAATCTTGTTCATTTCTTTATAATTAATCCCAAATGTTTGAGCCATGCTTTCAGAAAAGAGGCATTACTCACGGCTCTGAACCTAAAAGCTAGGTTATCAATAAAATCAACATTTTTTACATCACATTAATAATTTCATTGATTTACCAACTGCAAAGACTCTCACATACAGACAGAGCATTAACAAATTTCCCTCAATCTTTGAAATATTCTTTAAAGATTGTAGAAACTCAAACCTTACCTGGGGATGTAGACCTTTTCTAACTGCTCCATGGTTTTCAGTGCAGCGTAGTATCTGCAGAGATAAAAAGTATAGCTCTAATTATACAATAATATCACCATAAAAAGTACACTACACAATCAGGTTTTAAAATAAACCTAAATTCATCCCAGGGTGGGGAAATTTGCAGTGTTGCAGCAGCAAAGGTTGAGCAGAGCAAACATAGAAGAAGAATAAGTACACTCATCAGATAATTACACAGATAATTAAAAAAAAGTTTACTTAGAACTATTTAAAAAATGTTATATATAAAAAAGAAAAAAAAATGTATGCAACAGCAACAACTGAAGCACTTTTTCCTGGTCTCACACAAGGTCAGATCAATAATTAAATTCATGAATTTAAAGTTTATCTAAGGTTTGTCAGATCAGCGTTTTTTGCTATATTGCTGCTAATTGAACGGATTAGACATATACTGTAGATATAGTTATCTTGAGTTAATGTCTGCTTGTTTTTCTTAAAACTAAGGGTCGTTGTATGAACAGCAGGACACCTCAATGATGCTCAGGAGGAGACACTGTCTTTAGTTTTGAGCACTTGTCCACTCTTGGAGGGACGGTGCTGTCGTCTTCAGCTCCCTGCGAACCGACCAATCGTTTGCATTTTAAGGGAAAGTCTGATGCATTGCATGCAGCACTGCCGGACAGCTTATCCTCAATGCCTATTCAGCCACCTGAGTTATACAGATTCTGAGGTCTTTCATAGTGTGCACACAACACAAGGGTTCAGCCTGGGGTCAGTGTGCTGAGCTCCCATCATTAGGCTGATAGGCAGGCTGTGAAGGGATCTAATTGGTCGGTCAGTGAGTGTAAAATGTGTTGTATACACATGAACAGAAGACAGTCTCATAAACTGTACAGTGAAAAGGTTTGTCAGAGTGCAGAGCTCCAGGACGGAGGACACAAAAGCTGCAAGTGGCAGGACATTGAAGGGAATGTGTCCCGGGCACCAGCACATAGAGTACAGATAAAATGTGCGTTTTTGTGGTACCAACCCTTTCTAATTTATAGGGTGTGTATAGACCATGTCATTAGTCAGCATGGTCTAATTGCCTTGGATTGGCTGAGGGCTGTGAAAGAGCCGCAGAGAGGCGGCCTTGTTGTGAACAAGGGCACACTGAGGGTCAATTGTCCTGCCAGTGAATGGCTGCTTCCTTTGGTACACAGTAATGAACAAGAAAGGGTCATTATTTTCCTGTTCAAAGTGAGCCCCCCTCTCCACTTCATACAGACAGGCATGTCATTTACTGCCAAACATGAAGTTCATGGGGTAAAAATGAAGTTCAAACTAACTTCGACAGCAGTGGACCAGCAGAGATGGGGTCCTAAACCTGCATCAGGCATGTGAAAGTTTGCAGATGGTTTGGTAGGATTGAAAAATGAACGAGATAATTCTGTTCAGACATTTTTCTTCACACTGAAAGGAACTGAGAGTTTTGTTACAGAGCAGTCTTTCACTGTCTTCAGTGGTCTACAGTTTCACCTGCGACCACAGACACAATCTGATGGTGTCATTAGTTTCCACATCAAAATACATCACTGCATCATTGCCATGTGTTGAAAAAATGAGCCTGTGAAAGCTGGATTTTATTTGTTGATCTCAGTTAAACTTCAGACATATGGTGAAGAAATGGTTACCTTTTGGATTCCAGCTGTTCCTTTAGTTTGCTGTACATTTCCAGCACTGCACAGAAAAAAAGAAATCAGCAGCAGCCAGCAACAACACAGGAGTTTGTTTTGTTAACCATTTCACACACTTTTCTGCTCTTATTAACATTTGCTCACAAAGACACAGTCATGAAAAACAAAACATAAACTTTTGTGTAACTTCTGAACTATTTCAAGTTTTAGTGCAGTTTATGGGAGCATGGAGTGACAGTGTTTAGCAAACTTCTGTGTGAAAACTACAGAATCAAAAATCATGTTTTCCCTCATTCCTCTGAATTTACAGTGCCTTAGTTGCACAGTTGTGTAGCTATCCAGTGTTTCAAGCATCTGCCCAGTTGACTCTTGAGTCATCTGGGCTTGAGTCGCCAGCCTGAATGTGGTTCAGATGCATCATCTGTCTCTGAGGTCACTCAGGTGGCTGTCTCATTAACATTCAAGATAAGGTGGTCATCAAAGCTGCTGAGGTACCTGGGATACAGAGCTGGAGTTTCTCCACGGTGGTGGCCATGTTCCTCTGCTGGATGCGGCAGCGAATCACCTCCTCTGTCTGAGCTGTCACCTGAGAGAACAAACAAGAGACTGGTAAGGTCCAGTCCTGTTGCCATCATGCGCTCACCCCTGAGATTAGGATTAAAGATTCTGTCTGCATGCATGAACTCACCTCCCGTCCAGCCTCCTGCAGCCTTCGATTAGTGTCCGTCACCTGACACTTTGAAAGAAACACAGACAAATGTTTAGCTGCACAGCCTGAGGATTTATCTTCACAACATCCTTAAAAAATAACAGCTGAGAGTCAGATCTTCCGCTTTGTTTCCCTCTGAGCCAGAGATTAAAAAAACAAAAAAACTAGATCAACACCTCAGTGGATCTAACTGTTGCACAAAAGGACATTTTCAAAATGAGCAAAATGAGAGAGTCCCATTAGATTTATGGTACAAGGCAGAAGCAGATATTTTACAGTCTTGACTTTAGTAACTACCTGAGACATATCTTTATGTCGTGGACCAATGTGACAGATGTCAGCAGCCCCTTGTAATTTGAGCTATTTGGTCTTTTGGGCCCCAAACTACACAACTTCTGAACTCTTTCATAAACTTGACTGTTCTAGGACTCCATATGATATACTGTTATATTTGGGATTTAACCTGAAAAACTCCAGATGAACCTTTACAATCAGAGATATTAACATTTACTTCTCCTCTGATAAGATGTCCCAGTTTACATCTCCGATATCTCCAAAACCCCCTCATCCTTATCTCAATGAGCTCTGGGATGTTTCTTACATTAGAAAATATATGTCCAACTGTGAAAGGCTATAATGGTACATTACAGTAACAGAGTGATGAATTTGCTGACAAAAATAGAAAATCTAGTTAAATTTAAGAGCCTAATATTTAAAGCTGTACTGGTACATGCAGCATATTGAAGATCAAATCACTAATTTTTGAGGTTTCTGTCCCAAATGTAGTTTTAGTCTCCACATTTCCAAAGGAGCATGTGAAAACCAGGATGTTGTCGAGGTTAAAAGCGTTCAGTCAAAGTATAAAAACCTTGGTCTTGGTTCAGCTAACTTGCTGTCACATGTCTATCCGTCCCTCTCCTCCCTGTCTGCTCCCCCTCTTCTTGCCCTCTCTTTTCCCTCTCTACCTCCCTCACCGCAGCTGCTCAGCCTTGAAATCAGCTCATTGTCCATGAAGGGGTCGGGACAAAAGCAGGCAAATTCAGATTAACCAGGCAGCAGGGACCTGAACCCATCATTGGTGCACTGGGCCTTTCATGGGGTTTAATGGCTTGTGACAGGCTCTTTCTCACAGATTCAGTGACAAACTTCTCGATTCTGGATGAGGATTTTTGAACTCTCGGCTCTTGTCACACGGCTGAGAGCCATGACCCAAATGACCAGTCGGCTTTTTGATGACAATCCTTTCAACAGCGGAGCTTCCAAACAAGCAGGACCAACTACATAATCACTGTCTCTTCTTTTACTGAGCGGCAGCGCAACAATGCCGCAGAGGGACTCCACGAAAGCAAAGACAGTGACGCTGAAAGCTCCGCTGTCTCTGAAACTTTCAAGTCCACCGGGATGGAGAAGGCCTGCTTGATAATGATGAAAATCAAAATCACAATTATATCTATTGATAAGGACCGATGTCAATGTCAGTTTAATGTTCATTTACATTTACACTTGTAATAGCTCCAGCCTTTCTGTCGTCATGGTTACTTTGTCCCTTGGTTTAAGACCACAGGCAAACAAAAAACAAAATAGAGCCAAAAGTGTCCAAAAAGGACTCAGGAGGGAGTCGCCCTCTCGTTCTTGTTGATGACTTCAAATTGTTGGATGGGCATGCTTGATGGGAGTGTTTCCAGAGGGCTGGTGGGAACTTTGCCCCATGTGGTGAAGATGGCTTCAGGAAGGGCATCCGTGGTCTGGAACTGGCGTCCATTATTGTAGACTTACCTTGCCCTTCATCCTCAAAGATTCTTGATGGGATTTAGATTATGTGGCCTTTTAAGATGTTTTTTCACTTAGAGTCCTTTTTTTGCAGATGCTGCCTTATGGTTATTGGGCTGCAGTTGGATTCAATAAGGGCCTTAATTTGGGTCCAGGATGGTCTTGTGTCTTTACAGACGGCCCGTCAGATCCTTAGGCTCAGTACAGGTGTAATTTTTCAGGGTCCATGACTTGAATTGACTGTCTTACAGCATCCAACCTCGCAGGCCTTGCTTGTGCAGCTCAACAATCCTGCCACGTTCAAAGACAGAAAGTCTTTTTGCCTTTGCCATCAGGAGGTCATGTTGGTGTGAAGACCGTACAGGAAATGACATGAAAGCCTGATTTTTGCACATCAGCTGACCTTCTCATTCATTTATCAATATCTAAATAAAATGGATGTTGGTCAATCACTCAGCCTTTCGTAGACGTGATGGCTTATTTAGGGGAAAAAAAATCTCACATTAATGTGGTCACCCAAGTTTATAGACCACACTGGCCTTTTACAGCCTCCTCTGGTCCCTGGTGTAGTCCTCTTTACAGAAATCTTTCTTACCATCAGTTTTTCAGCATCAGCTCGGACTTTGAGGAGCTCTGTGATGGCGTCCACAAAACCCTGGTGGTGGAAATTGCACATCTTCTCAATCTCACGGTCATGGTTCCTTATCCTGGCATCCAGCTTTTCCATGAAGCGTTTGTGGGCGTTGGGCTGGTCATCGTAAATGGACCTGATCCAAAGAAAAACAGAGAAAAACAGAGGTTTAGGATGATGTGATGAAGGAAAAGGAGGGAAAGAGGGCAAAAAAACAAAGTGGCCATATTTTATTTGTCAATTAGCATCTTGGAGGAGTTGACTCAACACATTTGCACTACTGACTTATACTACACTACATCTTTGCTGGGGCTACAAAACATTAACTCTGATTCGAGTAATAAAGCTAACCTGTATAGACCTGCATTGTAAAATATGACCAGTGTGAATCATGGGTAACACTGCTGTACGAACAAAGATTCATATTTAACTATATCTAAGAGTCTAGAAAAGAATATTTACATGACACATATCTGACCTGTACGCCGAACAACAACCCGACAAAAAAAGAAAATCAACACGACTGTGAGACTGAGATGACCAGCTGTTTGCACATCACTGCAAAGAACCACGCCATGAATCACTACCAGTCATCCTGCACGCACTCACACACGCACGACCGCTGTCATATCCTGGCCAAGTTTCAACAGACAGATGGCAGAATGTAAACTGTACATGCGTTTGTGTGTGTGTGTCTGTGTGTGCTTGTGAAGATGTATAGAAAGAGAGAAATACATATGAGTATCTGGTAGGAATGTACACCTTTAGAGGATTACACTGAACGTCTTCACCCGAACAACTTGGAACCAAAACTATAATCATTCAAACTACTTTTTTTTTTGATTTCTGAATGCCTGCCGTTTGTGTGTCGTGTCTAAGATGTAACACAGCCACTCACCACCAGCCGGGGCTGTAGCTCCAGTTAATGGTAACTGCAGCAGTTGTTGTGGTACTGCTTTTGCAGCAGTGGGTGGCAGCATTTTTGTGTTATGATGCATCCTGATGTTGACATGGCCGAATCTATCAGAGTGCATTATGCAAAGTATATCTGTGTGTGTCTTATCTGACATGCAGACAGCAGAGGAGCAGCACACATACGATGTAAGCCACAAAAAGGGAAAAGCACGGATTTGGATTATGATTTAGTCTTTTTACGCTTAAACATGATAACTGAGACTGACTGATGTTGTCTCCCTAGAATATAAAAGCTGGAGTAGACTTAATGACCTTGCGCCAGGCGCCACTGTTTCCTGTTTGGTACTTCAGCTAACCTGCAAACAGTCTTGATACGATCAGGGCTTCAACATGGTTATTCAACTTGCAGTCTGCAGGCAAGTTAAAGCTGTTTATGGCCTCCAACAGGTGTGATAATATTTTTTTTATGTCAGAGGACACGCCATAATGTTCTCTCTACTTGCTTTGCCCACCCTCCCATTACTGCTCAAGGCAAAAGAGAAACACACACTTTGTTATCATGTTCCTACTGTAAAACGCTCTGATTGTTGAGGGAACTTTGTGCATAAAATAATAATCATGTTATTCATCTACTGATTTTCAAAAAGTGCTCAACAATTAGAAATAGTTCTACAGTATCCAGTATCTAACCTGCTGCTGGGGCTGGACTGGGACAGAAAGACTTTGGCCCACACTGACCTCAAGCATCTGGTAAAAATGATCAAACAGCATCAGAGCTGATATACAGACTTTGACAACACTGTTGTCTGAAGTCAAACATAAATGCCTACTAATGCTTCAGCAGCTCACCCCATCCCTCTGCTTCACTAACACACACCTAATCATCTTGCCATCTGTCTGACTGCTTCAGATATTATCTATGATATCAGGTGTGTATTTGGCAGCCCTTCTTACTAGTTGTATAGAGGGGTTATGTGATTTTTGAGGACCCAGTTTGATCAAAGTAAACTAGGGCGGGGTGGTCAATTGTTTGCTACTAAAGCTCTGGAATATGACTAAATCTTATAGTCTCATTTGGTTTGATGCACTGATTAGGTTCTCCTCCTCTGGTAAAAAGAACAGATCTTAGAAATGTCCTGGAAAGAGGAGAAATTTCAAGTTCGCTGCAGATTTTCTGACGTAATTGACTTTACTGTTATCCGGGAAGATAACAGCACTGTGTAGGTACACAAATACAGGTCATGTTTACAGTCTGCCTCAGCTTTAGGGAGCGAGTGAAAAGAAAGTGGCACATGCTGATGTGATTGACTGTATCCTTGAGATTATGGGGTAGTGCACTTCTTACAGCTTGTGTATCACTGGCGCCATCTTGTGGTATTCAGAGGATAAGGAAAATTAACAGAAATCATTCAATAGAAATAGCAGTAAATAGTTTTTCCCTCTTTACTTCAGTCTCACCTCAATAAGCTGCTTCCTACTCATTATAGCTCTCATGAATATCTGGTTTATTCCCTCACTGTTAAAGTACAAACCAGACTTTTTAACTGGTTGTCAAAAAAATAATATAAATTCCTCTTTGTGACCCACAAGAGCAAAGAAGGCTGACAAGGTTGTCGTTGTGTTTTTTCATAGCTTGAAACCACTGTGAGGTATATAAGTCAGAACAGAGGAAGGACAGCGGGCTGGAAAAAAACACCTTCCTTTACAATGGTTAACATTTACAGGAGTGAGCAACAAGCCCCCCGTGTTAAAGGACAAACTACATGACTAATCCATTCAGCTATCAAATTCATTACTGAGCAAAGACCTGAGGTTCAAACGTGGCAGAAGTTGGTTTTTCACATGAAGTTAGACTCTGGAAATGATCTGATGACACTGTGAACCCTCTTCACTTCACTTCAGCTGGAGATAACAGCGCCATCCAGTGACAGAGGAGTGAAGTACTAAATTCATACAGTCATTGAGAGGTCAGATAGTTTGTTGCAATGGTATGATTCTGAACGTCTCTGAGGTGTCAGTAACCCCTGATAATAACTTCTCTACAATAGTCCTGGCTGACGTATGAGTGTGTGTGTGTGTGTGTGTGTATGTTCTTTCTATTCAGTTATTTCTTAAGTCTCTTATGTTGTTGAATCATAACTTTTTAAACCGAAGGTCATTTTATTCCTCACACTTTTCTTTGATTCTTTATGTTGTTTTGGTTTGTAAAGCACTTTGTTATATTTGGTCACTCAACTCTAGTGTTTTCAGTCTGCAACATTTAGCTGTTAAACCACCAACACCCAAAAGAAACTGGCTGTTAACAACATGATGGGATAATAAATAAGGCTCCACCCTCATCTAACAGTACTTAATTATCATAGTTTATCTGCATGGCCATCATTTGTCCAACAGTCAAGGATAAATGTGAAGATGGTAGTTTTGTTCAGATCCAACTGTTGATTCGCTCAAGAAGACCATCATAAACAGTCTTCTGCAGAAGGTTTTTAACCAGAACTGAAGGTCATAGTAACAAACATTCATAGAAATCGACTGAATCAGGAGGTCAAGCCTTCTTCTTAACATGAGTGCCGCACAGCAACTGCACAGATTTCAGTTAATGCTGCAGACAAATGAAAAAACAAGCTATGACCTGAGGGGCAGCTGAGCACATGCTATAACTGTTTTATATTCAACAGTAAGACACTGCTTCACACATCTGTAAAATGACTCACTCATATTTTGGTTCGAAGTCTGTAATAAATTCATGTGTTCACTCTGCAGTGTTCAGTCTTCAAACTGATTGCATGCAGGGTTAAATTTTAGATATGGTTGTCCAGTGAGCTTGTGTCAGGATCCAGGATCCACACAGTTTCCTTCTGTGCCACTGGCTGTGGCTCTGACTCCCACACAGAAATAAAGTGAAGGTAGAGTACAGATGGAGTAAGAGCTTACAAGAAAACTTTACCAAACATAATTGGTGTGTGCTTATAAACACACTTTCTAAAAGTCATGACACAACTCAGGCACAGCTGAAATACACTAGTAAGTCAAGTGATGTTGGTTTTTGACACCTCTGCTTACAAAATAGGGTCATGAACTGACTTTGTTTTTGTGTTTCATGCTGATCCAAAGAATCATCATTTATATCAGTGTTAAAGGGAATCCTGGTTTTCCTCTATCAAACTAGACAAACAACTTCCATAGTAGGATGCAAAGTTGATTGTTGCACTGAAAGCATACTGCATACCTTAGAGAAATCTTCTCTAAGGTCTGTATGAGGGATAACACAGTAAAAATGATCAGCGCTATAAAACAGGTGATGAGAGGAGAGCAGGGAGAGGAGCAGGAGGAGGCAGGGGTGTGCATATCAGATACTATGATTTCCAATGACAGTAACATGTGAAATTCCTGTGTCATTCAATACATTTTGCACACATGGTTCAATTTCCCATATTTTCACACAGTATTTCCTCTTCACAGACCAAATACTTCAAACCCTTTTTTGCAGACTGACAACAAGTACACTGCCAACAAACCCTGTCTGTTTCATAACCTTTGGAGGTCCTCAGCCGCCACCAGCTGGAGACATTTTTGTTAATCAAATTAGATTCGGCTTCACCTACACAAATGTTCAGCCTTGTTTCTACACAGCTGTACAGAAAGGTTTGAATAGGACATGTGGAAAAGGATATATATATATATTTGACACTTAATAATATACTTTTAAGTGGTCAATTTCTACACATCAACAGAGCAAAGTAATGAATAACTATAAAGACTTGGTAAGGAAAGGAGTTTTGTTACACCTATAAACTCTAAAAACTGCTAAAAGGCTGGCCACTCTTCAAGAACTTCCCTGAATGTAAAACTACACTTCAGAGGAATAAGCATTGCACATGCAAACCGGACATGAGCACATCATACAGCACAGTAAAGATCAGTTCCTCTTTTGTCTCATTAATAATTGAAACCAGGTGGACATACTGAAACAAATCACTCACTATCTGCCTGCTTCCTGCCAGGAAAGGAGTCTAAGCTCGATTAGAGTGTCCTCTGTGTACTGATGAAACAAATCACAGTTAATCTGAGTGGGTCATCCTGAGGTGGGAGGGATGTTGGACACTTTCTTCTGACAATTTCTTCAACAACATCCAAAATCCCAGTTACACGTGAACAACATAAAATAAAGTTCATCAGACTTTTTCTGCAGAGCTTCAGTGAAATGAGGACATAGCGGTGATGTACTTTGCAACGATTAAAGGCGTGGACAGTCTTCAGACAGTGTAATGATCATGCAACTCTATGTGGCTGCAGGGAAAATGACACTATAGAGAAGTACAGGCGAGGCAGCTGCAGCAGTACTGAGGAGTAAAGTCCATGGTTGTATATGAAACTCATTTTCACCTCTCTCTGTTGAATATCTAACCTATCACTAACTTCGTCCCTGTGGCACTGGAGTGGGAGCAGTGACAGACACAGACATAGACTTGCTCCACAAATGTAAAAAGGTGTTTATGCAATCACTAGACTGAACTGGTGGTTGAAAAGAGGAAAAACAAGTCCTCATTACCACAACATCTATATTATAACCTGTGTTATTCAAAGTTCAGTAGTCCAAAGACTTCAGAGACCATACTGCTAAAAGACAGTCGGTTTAAGCTGATTTGACTCTGTCAACAGGCTCAGGAGTGTCAGCAAATATGTTCATGATCACATGGGCCTGAACAGTGCTGACTGTAGACTGAACATCAGTGAGTGTGCTAACGTGCTGCGTATCCTGGTCCCGATCAGACTTTTGTTTAAATATCCTGCTTTTGTGATTTCAAAGTAAACATCAGATGCTTGTTTCAACAGCCTGCATGAGCCCTGATTCTCATATCAAAAATTTAGATGTGTTACACAAGTAAGAACACTGTGTCATATTTAAAGATGGGGATCAATAAACTTGTATTAATGCTGACGTCATTATCAATTCTACAATCATATTCTTCATTCATTCCCTTTAAAAGGAGCCTTTGCTTTACCATACAGCCTCTGATTGGTCAACAAACCATTACAAATATGGCAGCCATCCATTACTACAGTCAGCTAATATCAGACATCATTCAATATGACTTAAATTAATACCTAAATCATTACAGATTACCTCCATAGTCTGTGAAAAGATACTGATCTTCTCTGTGGGATGGAGAAGCCCCTGGATGTCATAAAAGCACTGAGTGGATTTCTGGAAAGCTGCTGGTCTCACACAGTGAGTGGATGTTGGTACATCTTACTGTTCTATTTGGAGCTGATATTGCAAGCTCAATATTATTTAGCTGTACACAACAGCAAGAAGGGAACCGCTAAGTACAAAGGCAAATGATTTTGATGGTTTGAACTAGTTGGGACTGGTTCTAATCTACAACCAGTTCTCTATTCCCATTCCTGGTCATAGACACTACGGACACCTTTTTCTGAAAATGTGGTTTTGGTCCCAATTCACAGCTGAATCTTCCAAAATGTGCAGTGCTGTTATGATCCTTACAGAAGGATACAAGCAACATTGAAAAAAAGGACTGGATTCAACTATGGTACTACAAGTCTGTAAACAAACTTAATGATAAGTCATCTGACTGACTGTGGCGAATCAGTCCGTCAGTCTAACCATCCATCTGCACAATGAACTGAAATTTCATCACTGTTGCACTGTGAGCATTCTCCATAAACACAAAAGTCTAACTTTACCGCAATAAATAAAACAGTTTAAAGCAAAGAACAGATGCATCCTACGTAACTCAGCATGTTCACATTTGACCTTTTAGATTAATAGCTGAGGCTTTCTTCCACACCCTTTTGATGCAGTTAGATCTATAGCCAGCAGATTAAATGGTACCAAATCATAGGTGTAAAAAATCCCTGCTATTTGAATCTATTCTCAATTTAGGAGGGAGACTTTGACATTTTAAAAAAGACACTGATTGTTCAAGCATAAAGAACAGCAGATGCACACAAATACAATTTTTTTGTTTGTTTGGTTGGTTGGTTGGTTCTTATTTTTTATTTTCTTCTCATTTATTTTAATGTTTATGGAAAAGTATTTGCTGATCATCATTGTCTGCTTCCTGTCTTTAAACACAATGCAATCATTCATAAATGGTCAAAAAGCTTAAGCTTTATGTTATTTGTGTTTTCTCCTCAAGTGCCTACATTAGCAATTTATTCTTATTTTAATGTACAAACAACTGTAAAACCATAAATGTGATGGTCAAATGTATGCAAAACGTAACTACTCTAAGAAATACACTTAAAAAACTGTTATTAGTCTCTTATACATTGAGAGCTTAAGTCTATTTTCTTCAAACTATACCAAGATAATATTTTTCACCCCTTAGATTACTCTTTTACCAGCTAACCTGACACGAAGCCAGCATAATATGGAAAAACATGACATATGATAACATCATGTGATATCATTCAGAAATTTTAAAGATAAAGTAATAATATAGAGTTTGTATAAGCCAAATAATTCAATTTCTTTTCTCTTTGCGCTGTTGCACAATGCTTTAGTTTGCAACAAGTATCTCTTGAATCCAAGATACATCCAACATCAGTTTTTATCACTAAATTATCACAAAGAAATCTGAGAGTGGTTCAAACTTCATTTGACTGCATCAAAATGGTGTGAGAGCATCTTTCTACAAGGTAAAATAAGCATGATGAGTGCTGTATCGTTTGATAATTTATTGTATTTGGTATGAGTAAATTTATTAACTGTTAACATAACAAATATTAATGTGAGCTGAGTTATATCTACTGTTCATTTTTAACAGATAATCTACATATCCCATCTCATAGATAACTCATAACATATTTAACGATTTTGGTGTCCACCTCATGTTTATCATGCTGACTGAGGTCACACTACTGACTGGCAGGAAATTCCCTGTCATTTCTACAAAGAAGCTGGATTGCATGCAAACACTGCTGCAGCTGCTCCTCACCGGCGCACCTGAGCATAGGCGGTAATCAGAGACGTGCAGCTAGAGGGATTTACAGGTGAACAGAGGCAGGGAATCAGGAGGCTGGAAGTCACACTGATTTTCAACTGTGTGACTGTAGGTCAATGTAAATGTTTTAATGAGACTTATCAATGAGCTCTTAAACAGTAACAATGCATTTCAGTTTTAACAACCATAAGTAGTTCAAGTGAAGGGAAATTTGTATATTTTTTTCAGATGTATGGTTTTATACTGTTTCATTCACTGTATATGTTCCTGTTGAAGGTTCTTTGACAGTCCAAGCACTGCTGCTGAAAGCTGTTTACTTCGATGCATGTACAATAATCCATGTTTTCTTTCATATAATTCGTTTTTCATTTCTGTTGTTATTCTGTGTTCACTGTGAAGCACCAAAACATCAAGATTATTCTTTTTAAGTGTACACCTATTTGGCAATAGCCTGGTCCTGATTCTGATACACACTCAGCTTGTTGTTTATTGATGGTAGACTGGTCAAAGATGACATCATGTCAGGAAATACAGAGATAAGGACGGGGCCAAATTTCTGAAAACAAACAAAAGTGTCTCTGGTTAAGAGGTTAGACTCTTTGCTCTAGATGAGGATAAGACTGTCAATCTTCAACAGGTCTGACAACTCAATATCATATCTATTTTAGTACCATAGTTTGCACCCAGAACAAGCTGACAGAGGAGCTCATGTTACCTCAGGGCCTTGTTTTTCCTGGTATGCTGCAAGAGAAACACCGCCTGCAGGCATGTGTACGGGACAGGTGTGTGTATCAAGCAGTAAATACACTCACAGGTGCGCAGTCACGCCTGTAGCCTGACATTATAATGTCATACTGGCCTTGAAGCAGACTATCAAACATTAACAGTGCGGTAGTCATGGGGCGGTTTGCTCAGGCATCTGAACTTCCTATTTCAGTCCAGCTCTTTGACAACCACAAGACAGCACCGGGGGGTCAATGTGACGCACCTGGTACCGTTATAACGGACTGACAGCTGGGTTCATTTTCACATTTCACTGCTAAACCACTAGCACCAATTGTTAGCACCGTTAGCTTAGATTAGCTGTGTAATGATAAGAAGATGTGAGTCTCACAGCCACACCCACAAATGATGTTTGGGTTACATTTGACAGGTCCATCCACTCCGAGGGTCCGAGAAAGCCCCTCGAACAGCATTTTAGCAGAGCTGCATTGAGCTGAGACAGTGGTCAGTGTTGGCCTGTTAGCTCTGAGCTCATGCTTCATTTCAACAGCCTGATGATGCTAATGTTAGCCTACCGGTGCAGCTAAGCTAGTCTATGAACAAAAGGGCTGATAACGAAAGAGACGCAAACAGACACACATCCGTTATAACCGTCAACAGCTTCCTACAAGGGCGTTAATTCTTACCGGAGAGTGGGACCGACACAAGCCGTGTCGGTGCTCTCTATTTCCTGTAAAATCCGCTCGTGCTCCGTTATACACTCCAGGGTTTCATTCTCCGCCATGATTGTTATGTGTATGTGTGTGTTATGGCTGTGACTGACTGCAGCTACAGCAGAGTTCAGGTCAGTGTGAGGGTTGGCCTGTAGGGGGCGCACGGCCGCTGCACGACAGTAAAATGCATATTACTGTATCAACTGATGTAAATAAGAGAACTACGTGTCTGTAAACTTGACGATATCAAGGATGAATTTAACATAGTAGGCACCTTTTTTGCACTTAAAAAAAATTTCTTTCAAAATAGCCACCCTTTTAACTTGTTCAGAAATACAAACGACAGCTTAAATATAACAGAAAAATTTACCTAGTCTGTAAAAGTACGTGGGTTCAAAAGTTGTAGAAAGCCCATTATTAAAAAGTACTAGTTCAGTTGTAATGGCAGTGAGGATGTGGGGGTGATTCATGTCCCTAACATAATGTCAAAGCATATTTTCCCATACTTATTGTTCTAACATACTAAGATGTTAAGAGCCTAGATCTATTGTTGCATTTTTGTCAGGTTTGCACTTTTTAGATGCTCCCTGCACCCTGAAGTCCTGGAAGATTTTACAGGGAATTGTTAGAACAAGGCAAAAATAAGAACTTGGCTGCAAAATGGCTGTACAAGCAGAAAGCAAAATATTTTTGACACGTTTCTTGAAATAATATCTTTTAAAGAAAATCCTGCATCTGTGGATATCTAAGTTGACAAAACCCTTTTTTCCTACACAAGTAGGAAAAACACTGAAATTATATATATATATATCTCAATGTAGCTAAAGAGTTTTTTGACTGAAATTTACAATGATATTGAGTTTCTGAAAGTGGGGCAAGGGGGTAGGGTTTTTTATTTCAATGCGTACATAAAATATTACATTACATTGGATATTCCTTTATTCATCCCTCAGTGGGGAAATTAAAAGGCTGATCATTTCAAAGTGAAAGCAAAGGGAAAAGGTTGCTGTCAATTTTTGACATCCCCATCCTGCCAAAAAAAACAACAACATCCTGCTGACTTTTGATAGCTGAAAATTTAAGTGGATATTGTCAAAACAGAGCTGCTCAGCTAACAAATACCCCCCACCCCAAAACCAGTGTTAGTTATTAAATATTATGGTATAAAACTGATAATCTTGTTCCTGATGATCTTGTTTGGTTTAAAATATTTTTGAAGGCATTATTATGAATTTCAATCTATTTAGTGTAAAAAAAACTCCTCAGAGGAGCTTTATGTAAAACATGATTTGCTGTACTTGTACTTGAATATGATATCTTTCTACCTCTGCTAAATTTAAGCTGCAGACCTACATTTCTACATGACATTTCTGTCAGCATCAAAAACACAATATAAAGATGAAAATCACTGCTGATGTTCACAAATCTTCAAATCCTCAAATCCTCCCTACCCATGTTTAAAATGTAGCCTAAGACAACACAGCAGCTATTTTTGATGTTGTAAGTAAGATGATTAGAAAGGGTTTGTAAATATGTCACCATTTATTTATTACCTGTACTTATTTGGGTCAAAAAATATTTTTGAAGTATGATTTTGTAATTGCAGTCTTACTCAAATGGAACAAAGAATCATGTCTTTGGTTTTTATATTTAATTAATAGCTAAAAAAGAAGATTATTGCACAAAATGGAATGTAAATAAACATATGCAGTTAATTATCATGTCTGAAAATTATTATGGTTGAAGCCAGAAATTAAATTCCTCTTGTGAAGCTTTTTTTTTTTTTAAGTAAATAAAGTAAAAATGCAGATGCAAAAAAATGCACACAAGAATAAGAACCTGGTATTGAATATCTCCCTTTAAACAAAACAAACAACAACAAAAAAACAGCTTTCTGTTCTCTTGGATCAGCTGATGACATGATACCAACCCTTCAGTTGTTTCCATTAGCTTACCTTAAGGTGGTTCCCAGGGGTAAGTCCACAGACTCTAACTCTGCAAAGATATTCCCAAAAGTCTTCTCCTCCTCTTTGTCATCATCTTCACTCTGAAGTGGAGGGTCAGGTAAAGCAGCGTGGACTCTGTCAGCAGCCATGTCTCTTTTTCAGACTCTACCCACTAGGATGGAGTCTCCACACACTGTTATGTGACAGTGAAGGACACCAAGAACTCCGAGAGACTGTGAGACTGCAGTGAAAACCATGGCACCTGCTAAGGTCAGCAGAAAAAGAGGGAGCAACAGGAAAGAGGGACCTTGTGATCCACCGGACTTTGTAGCCAACAAAACTGACTGGAGCAGTTCTCTGTGAACACATTCATGTTAGTGATACTGTAAATTGAGAAGAAAGCACCATGAGGAAACCTGGCCTGGAGGCTTCATTTACATCTGTGAATTTTAAATGCCTTCTGCAGACGCAGACTTTCAGTACTTTACATAGATGGGCACAGGTCACTTTTCTCATGGTGCCAAAAAATAACAACTTAAATATAAAAATTATAAAAACACAAATTAAATATTAATATCAGTAGTATAAAAAAAAGTTACACAACACTGCAGCAACATATGAGTTAAATCTTCCTAATCCAAATCTTGATGGACTCAACAGAAGATGTTTGTTCAAAGTCACATTTTCAAGAACTGACAGAAAAAGTGTGACACCAAAAAGCAAAGAAAGCAGCACACCAAGGATTAAATACCCGAGCTATGTTAAGAAAAATTATCAGCCATAGTTAAGGATTTCTGGGTATATTGGGGTGGCACCCCTGGGGCTGGGGCACCCCATGATCCCTCTTGTACCAGCACTTTGACCAACTGTAATACCATTATGGCCGAGAGGCTTCAAAACTCCTTAACAACAGCAGTATGAGGTTTATATTTAATATGGGACAAATATTGTAATCAACAGCCGACATTACAAGTCTTTTTAATAATTTTGGTGGGGTGGGGGGGGTAAACACACTCAGTTTCTGTGCTAATTTTCTGCATCTTTCTGTCCCAAAGACAACAGCAATAATCAAGAAAGAATCAAACAATCTAAGTCTTTAAAACAGCCAGAAAGCTGTATAAAATGTTGATTAAAATATGCATCTGCATATCAGTATAAGTGCTGAAGAGACAAAAAAATTGAATAAATAAGGTTAAAATGGAAATATTTTTACCACTGTGTCACATCAGCTTTCCTTTAACAACACTCAGTAAGCCTTTGTGAACTGAGGACACAAACTGTTAAAGCTGTGGAGGTGAATTCTTTCACAGTCTTGATTGATGGACCACTTCAGATGCTCAACAGTCTGGGGTCGCCATTGAGGTAATTTGTGCTTCATAACGCTCCACACATTCAACAGTAGACAGGTCTGGACTGTAGGCAGGCTCCACTCTAGTACCTGCACTCTTTAGATACGACGTCATGATGTTGTAACTCCTGTAACCCCTGGAAACGACGGGGCTCTAATGGCAGCAGCTGTTGCTCCAAAACCTGTTTGTATCCTTCAGCATCAATGGAGCCTTTACAGCTGTGACAGTTGGCTGTGGGCACTAACTCAGTCCGTCTCAGATGAACTTGGGTCAAGAGAAGCTGGCTGTGTTGCTGGCTGTTGTTGATATCTGACTTTGTCTTTGCATGGTAGAGTTCAAACTTGTGTTAACTGACAATGGTTTTCTGGAGTCCTCCTGAACCTAAAAATCCTTTACAGAATGATGTGGGTTTTTTTAATGCAGAGCGGCCTTAAGGGTCAAAGGTCACTGTCATTTAATGTTGGTTCCAGGTCTTGCTGCTTTCATGCAGAGATTTCTCAGATTCTCTGAATGATCCAAACAGGTGTTTTTGGAGCAGTCCTCAGTTTTCCCAGACTTTCGTTGACCCTGAACCAACTTTTTAGGAATGTGTCACAGCATCAAATTTAAAATGTGTGAATATTTACTAAAAAAAAAAAAGATCAGTTTGAACATTCAATATCTTTGTAGTATATTCAATTGAATACAGTAAGAAAAGGATTTTCAAATTTGTACTCTGTTTTTCTCCTGCATGTCTTTTTAAGCCATAATACATTCACAGAGAGTGTTTTAAAACAGTAATGCAAACTCTACTAGCTTTAGGTTTTTTCTTGTGGGGACACCAAACCTATCAGAGAGTTTTTATTATTACTATTACTTGCAGTAGTACTTCTCCTTTACCAAAAATAAACAGCACACCTGTCCCATGATGTCACTGTTTCAATGAGCCACTTGAGGAGAGCAGATAAAAATAAATGCGACCATAGAAAGGTTACCACATATTCTTAAGCAGCTTTTTGAGTAATACAGCGAGCCCTGAGCCGCTTACTCAACCACTTTCTACTTCCTGCTATTCTTCTGCGAATGGATTGGCCGATTAGGAGTGTGGACGTAGAGGTTAACAATAAAGTCTACACAAAAGCCCTGACTATGAGTTTCCTTATTGCTCTACTGAAAACAAGAAGTGGGTCACACACACACATACACACGCACACAAACACACACACATATATATAGGAAATGTGTCCGAGCTGCAGGAACAGACACACAGATGGCCTGATGCTATACAATGGAGGAAAGAGAGGCAGGAATGTATGCAGAGATATAACATGACAGACAGAGGGGTGGAAAATACCTATAAATCTTTCCCTCACACACTCTCTCTCTCTCTTAGTTTTCCCTTTTTAAAGTCTGTGCATTGGGAGCTTTAAGTGACTAAAATAAAGGTCAAATGCCAGAGAAAGATTTTTACTATCTGGGGCTTTGCAAATTAACAGATGTGTTGACCTGCACACAGTACAAGGACTTAAAACCAAGGACACAACAACAGAGTCAAATAGGATCTTCTGGTAACTCATGTCCCATGTGCCTCATATCAAGGTCAGAATGTCTGTGTCCAGTTCTTTGTCTCCTCTGTTTACCTGGAGCTAAACATGGATCAACTCTCTGCTGCAATTTTTTGACCTGCTGCTCATCTGCAGTCAAACCACCTACACCCTCTGCAGGACAAAGACACAACTCTGTCTCACTCGTTTCCAGATTGTTGGTTTACCAAGTGTGGTATTCTGTTCAGGCCAACTAGACAGTACTTTTTGCAACCCGCTAACTTTGCCTCTCCTTGATCGTCAAGATCTGCATGTAACCTGTCGACCAGAATCAAACTCCCAGCTCCACTGCCCAGCCAGTCTCTGCCTCAAACAACTCAAGAAATCTCTGATCCAGTAAAGCTTAGCACACACCATAAAGATTATTAAAATCTTAACTTATTTCAAAACAGTCAGAGACTCCAAACATGATGACAAATTACTAAAAAAGTAAGCTCCTGTAGCAAATGCCAAATTGATGTTAAATCATTAAAAACAACGACTGATTCAGATCCACCTGTCAACGAAATCTGAGACAGTGTAAGTGCAAATCAAATTATTACCATTGGCTGATTATTCCCAGGAATCAAATGAATTTGATCATGTAATCGCTGTCAGTGTAACAAACTCTGATAGTTTTTGTCTTTGTTTAGGTCTGTGTTGAACACCAGTACTCTCCATCTGAGAGCTCTCTGTAAACACTGGAGAAAATTACGCTGTATTAATCCTTCAATGTGATAATACCATGTGCATGTTTCCCCTTTTGAAGAGGATGTATGGATCACAGCAGTGTCCACTGTGAACTGTCACCGCTCCCATTCTTCTGTCCATGTGCTCTTCCTCTCAAAGCTCTGCCAGCTTCCTGTGTCTGTCCGGAGCACCGGCTGCTATACAACTGCTGACCTCCATTGTAAGCTACACTCCAAACAAATAGCTCTGAAGGACATCCTGTAATGGGAACAAGCCTCTGTCAGAGCCAGGTAGGCTGTCCAGATGTTTCAGACAAGGCCAGAGACCTTTCAGACCCGGTTTAGGATCTCATTCTGGCTTTTTGGGACAGATACTTTTTGGAAGATTGAAAGCAGGAAAAATCTGCCCAGAAAAGATCATATGAATATCCTCTAAAACTTCATAATTGGGGACATGTTATTTTACACAAGCACAGGAGAAAGAGAGGAAAGCTGACAGATATTAAAACCACAGAGGGTATTAAATTGGTTATCACCGAGCAGCAACACTTCCAATGAGAGTTGACCAATACTAGTTTCCCTAGACCAATATGGATACAGATTTTTTTACTTGTTCATAAGATCAATGACTGATATATGGAACCAATATGCATGTACAGCAGATATGGACAAATTTCTGCAAGTAAACACACAACAATCAGGTGTCTTAATATGCACAAAGCATGAGAATGAGTTAATTTGTCAGCCCCCATCGTAAAGTACCCAATTTAAAAAAACCTCCAGCCTTTAAAGGAAGGCTTGGTTTTCTTATTCGGGGTTGAACAAGGCACTTTTTCACATTTAGTGTGTTGGTTACAGAGATCCCAGTCAGTGCTGCCAGGTCTAAAAACAAGCAACAGTCAGAACATTTACATCCACAGTAAATTCAAGCTACAGTCACAGCTGGATTAAACAATTCAACCGGACTTCTGTCCTTGTCCCAATTTAGATGCACTCGACAAGAATCAATTATTGACAGAAACATGTCCACCTCTGTTACCGTCAGTGGTGACAGGCCCCCTTTTAGCTGGAACTGGAACTGCTATTTTGTTTGCCAGTGAACAGCTGCTCTTTGCAGCCCTTAGTCTGGGTTAACTTGTGAATTTAAAACAAGTATTTCTTCTAAACACATAGTTCAGATGTAGAAATACAACACGTTATGTAGTCCTCCAAGGAGGTTGTTGAGGAGGGTCTGGGACTGCTGCCATTGTAAATGTTAACCTGTGGTGTCAGATATACCAGACCCATTACAATCCTTTAAGTAAAATCACCACACAGGAGCATCACCTCAGTGTTTTTGTAAACAACCAAGATGGCCGCTTCTGCCACAAAAAGGTCAATTGAAACTGCATGCTGTGCAGATCTGATCGGTTGTAGATTTGTACAATCCCTGCAGGAGAACTTTTGTAATGACTGTTTCTGATGCCCCCCGTAAAATGAAAAAAAAAAAAAAAAAAAAAAAACATTTCCAGGTTTTTTAACCAGGGAGATTGGGCTGAAAATGGCAGGTTAATAAAAGGCTAGAGCATATTGGTCTGCTGGCCTAGAAGACGACACAGTGCCCATATACAGAGGTCACGCCTCAGGACAGTGGCTGCAGTACCGATAAGTAACCTGAAGAGGGAAGCAAAGAGAAAACATTCACTTTCTTTCTCCACACTCATGCACTCAGTTCAGATTCTTTCCATTAAGCCTCATGATGTAAAATCCTTTAGACAGAAAATAAAATAACTCTTGTAGAATATATCAATAAACTTTAAATCACTTTCCAGTCGCCCTGTCTTTTCTCACTGATGCCTTACACACAAACTTCATCTTTTTCTCTGTCCTATCAGGATGTTTTTTTCCTCAATGATCATTACTAAAATTCCCCCCTATTTTTGCTCAAACTGACTTTAGTGAAGCACATTTTGCACTGTGAGAGATGTTAGATGGTCATTTATTTCTCTTCACTTTAAGTCCATTTTAGTATTGTCCTGTTTTTACTGCTGTTTTTGGTTTATTTTGGTGTTTTTTTAATTTTTAGTATTTTGTAATATTGGATACTTGCCACAGTTAAGACCCACTTAGATTCTGGTAGCTGCAGTTACAGCAGGAGGAGGCAGGTGGAGAGAGGAGAGCAGAGAGAGTAGCAGGACTAGGCTGGTGTGTGTTTGAAAAGCCAAGGGACGGAATGAGCACAAAGAGAGAAAGGCTGCAGACTGCTTACATCAGCTGGGTTGATTAGTAAGAGACATCATTCTGAATAAAACAAAAACACTTCAAGTCTTGATGTTATTAAGGATGCCAATAAAAGCTTGAAAAGACAGTGATTTGTATGATCTGATGCCTAAAATGTAGGCAGTAAAAGAGCGAAAATCTATCAGTTTTTCTGACACGGTGTAAAAAGACTTTACTGTCGGTGAAATCAGACTTTAAATTCATAGAGTATTATCATCCAAATTAGGTTAGAGCTCTTAAACTGAAGACAACTATAGTGGTCTCCCCTATCTGCTTTATTTAAGGATAATCAAACAAACTATTCAATCAATGCATTTATTATTTGTTAAAAACATAATATGAGTAAAGTAGCTGATGGTATGAATATGATTCTTTAAAAACAACCATTACTAAACAGCTTTAGTGCATCAGTCTGAGTGTGCCTCAGTTTTAAAGAGTTGTCGGTCTTTGCTGTCAGAGGAAACAGTAGTAGACTCCACTCTGAGGATGTTTGTCTGCATGAAGAGCTCTTGTGAGCAGGACAAAAAGCTCTGATGGGTCTTTAAGCATCTCTGAGAGTCTGGTTTACTCAGCCACATTTACTACTCACACTCACACACACACACACACACACACACACACACACACACACACACACACACACACACACACACTCACACACACACATATATGAAACAGTGGTGGTTTTTGCTCAGCAGACATAAACCTCTCAGGAGCTGTCAGCCGGCTCCTATAAGAGGAGGCAGAGCAGGAGGAATGTCCACATATGTACACACACTTCTTCTACCTTTATCCACCTCTCTGCCTGTCTGAATTTAACGACACGAAACGTATTCTTAGTGTGCATGTTGGATAATCTCATCACCTGCAGACAGACATGTGGGTCTTTCATTGTAGTCTCTCTGTCTGCACTCCTCTTCACCTCTGAATGAAGAGGTCAAGCTCATCCTGCTGCTTACATTCAGCAAACACTAAAAGGACAAGGACAAATAAAGATAAAGGTCTTCCTCTACACCGTGAAAAAAAGTAATCTTGTTTTTTTTTTCAAATTCTTGTAGAAACAAAAAGTCACATTAGGCTTAAATTAAACTGCATTCACCTGATAAGTTTTTACAGCGTATACCGAGCTGCCAATCTGTTGCCTAACTTCACGGTAGGAACGCAGCCCTGTAGTACGAGGAGTGCTGGTCACAAACAACTCACCACCAAAAAGCCAGCTCTTTTCAGCAATAAATATGATGTTTGGGAGTTAAGAGAGCCAGTTCATGCTGAGCCAAAAGAGTCTGAATCCACATCAATAGGAGAGTCGACACCCAGGTTATTTGTCTGTGAGATGGATCACAAACAACTTGACCAGGATCATACAGCCTTTGTGAATTAAAGTAATTTGTGGATGATTTCAGAGATTTACATACATGTTTATAATTTTTTCTTAATGAGGATTTGTCATAAGTGCACACCAGGTCCCAATCAACTCAAACTAAAAGAAAGAAAACTTAGGCTTTATTGTACTTTTTGCATCTCGAAGAAAAACAGACCTTGAAATATCTGTCTTTAAGCAACAGCTTTAAGAATGAAAAGTTGAAATGTTTGATTATAATAATTAGAAAACAAGTTCTTATAAAGATTTTAAAACCCTTTTAACCCGAACCTTAACCCTCGTAAGAGAAGTCGATGGTTCATTGTCATGTGATTGGGTGGAGTAGGGGACTAAACTGAATCATTTTGGCTCGGTCAAGAATAGAAACCTTCTTTACCTTTGCTGGGAAGTCTGGCTTCTGACTGGACTTTTCAGATCAGCTGATTTCAGACACAGCCTCTGGTTGGACAACAGAATTTTTTTCATCTGCCAAGCTGAACGAGCCAGAAAAGTTTGGGAACCACTGAAGAAGCATTTTAGTTAATCTAAGATCTAATTTTAATAAGGTAAAAATTTATACCTGGGCTGCTCCACATTGTGTCCCACGAGGTGTCCATGTTTGCATCACAGGTCCTTTACGGTCGAACAATCATCTTGCTTGTGATCTGGATAAATACCAAAAAGCTGTGACCTTGTAGGCTTGAGTTTAAAATCTTGAAAGTGTGAAAAACAGGTGCTCATGGCTTCAAAAAGCCGACCAAACTACCATCAACGAACTGATCTAGATTAGAGACAAAGAAAAGGACTGAGGAGAATCTTTAAACATTTAGGGACAACACTTTGACTGACATCCATTTCCTGTAGGCCGGTCCTGACCTCTGCTCAGTGAAACCTCATCATGACTCCAACGTTTTTTATTTCTTAATTACCCAAAAAGTTCAGTACCCTTCATGTGTGTGTGTGTGCATGTGTGTGTGTGTGTGTGTGTGTGTGTGTGTATGTGTGTGTGTGCGTGTGTGTGTTTGAAGTGTATTCTCTTCAGTCTGTCTGTTGTGGTTGTGAAATCGGCTTCCAGTTCATTGAAAGTAGGAAGTGAAAGAAAGACAGAGATATACACATGCAAACATACTCATACACTCTGACACACAGATGTGCGAGTGTGTGTGTGTGTGTGTGTGTGTGTGTGTGTGTGTGTGTGTGTGTGTGTGTGTGTGTGTGTGTGTGTGTGTGTGTGTGTGTGTGTGTGTGTGTGTGTTCAGTAAAGCAGTGCAGTCGTACGCTCCAGCAGACACATGTGTGGTCTTAGATAGCTTGTTGTTTTTGAACAGGGGAACATATGTGTTTGCTGATAGGCAAATCCTCTGGGTGCCATCAGGCCTGCAGACTGTGGATACAGAGCTTTGATGCAACCCGGCAGAAACATGTTCACTGACAATGACGCTGAGACCCAATAAAGTTCAGTTCTGAGTTATATTGGAGAAAGGTACAACAGTGTATGAGGAATTTCATAGTTTTTGACATTCTAGTACAACTACAAGCAGGATTAAATTGAGAGAAATAGGGTTATAAAATTATGAGACTGGAGTCCTAATGTGGGTTAATTGGTTAATTGGTCACTTCCAAATTGCCTGTAGGTGTGAATGTGAGTGTGGATGGTTGTTCGTCTCTATATGTCACCCCTGCGATGAAAAGCAGGAAACAGGAAAAGTGGTAGAAAATGGATGGATGGAAGTCCTGATGTTACAGGTAAAAGTTATGTTACAAGAATGAAGTCTAGATTATGTGTCCTGTGTGATCTTGCAACTGTGATGGGAGGAGGAAGACATATCAGAAGTTGCGTCTAAAGTTGTATCATGATAAGAAGACAGATTTTTTGTCCGCAGATGTATCTATCAGAATTGACTTAAAGGTTCTTTCGTTGGTTTTAAAAGCTCTTAATGATCTTGCAACAACTTTTTTTAATCAGATTTGCTTTTGCCATATGAGCCTTTGAGAGCCCTCAGGTTTTCAGGTTGTGGTCATTTAAAAGTGCCTGAAGTACAAACAAAGACTAATGGAGAGGCGGCTTTTCACTATTACAGCCCATGTCTGTGGATCAGCCTACCTGAGGACCTGAGGACCTGAGGACGGCACAGAGTCTCAGTGTTTTTAAAAGCAACTCAAATCTACTTTTTAGTCTGGCTTTGGTCTGAGTTTTACCTCATTCAGGTAACTCTATTTATCACTTTATTTTAATTTATTTTACACAGTTTTTATCCTATAACACAGTCTATTCTATTCATCCATGTATGATATACAAATATTATCTTAAACATTTTTGTGTCTTATCTCAGTTTATTTATTTCTAGGCTGATTTGTAAGTCTTATCTGGCAGTTTTTTTATTTATTATTATTATCATTCTTAGGTTTTACCAAGTTTACCTCCAATTATTCCTCATGAACACAGGATATCCTTCCTCAGTCCCTCAGTCCTTGGTTCTTATTTTATATTATTTTATTTTATTCTATTTTATTCATTTTTTGTTGTTGTTTGTTTAAACCATGACAAAGGTTTTTTTTTTCCTTTCATTTCATTTGTTTAAGGGAAACACTTAATTTTTATGCATATTGTTGTACAAAAAGTGCTAAAGAAAAAAGTCTGATGGGTTTATTGATTGGTCCAGCTCTGCCATCAACATCAAGCCAGCAGCAGCAATCTTGCAGCTGTAGACCTGCCTGCTTTCCAGCTTCTTCAACTACAGGCAACAGTCTCTCCTCTGTCCATCTCTCTCTTTCTTCATCTCCCTCTATCAGTCTCTCCTCTGGTTATCTCTCTCTCTCTCTCTCTCCACCTCTCTTTCTATCTCTCCTATCTAGATCCAGTTCAGTCTGAACAGAGCTGGGTCTTACATGAGTCTGGTTCTGCTCAAGGTTTCTGCCTGTTAAAGGAAGTTCTTCCTCTCCACTCTAACTTGATAAATGCTGAAAAGTGTTTCACTCATGTGGTTGAAGATGGGATAGGAGTTGGTTTGATCATACATGGTTCAGTCTGATCTCATCTTTATATTGGGTCTTTGTAAAGAGAGTCTGGTACAGACCAGCTTTTTTGTTAAGCATGGGATAACACTTGTTGTGATTTGGGGCTATATGAATAAAGACTGATTGATTGATCTCTGTCTCTTGGTCTGGTCCTACTCTGCGGTACAGAAGTGAAAAATTCAAACCGGAGACCTAAAATAAATCAAAGCTACATTTAAATTCCTGGTAAATGTCCGGCATTCAGATGTTAAATCTATTTGGCAACTTTTCAATCATCTTCCTCTTTATCCCTTCAGTTCTCTAGTTTCTCTTCCCCTCCTTCTCTTTCCTTCACTTGTTGCGATGCAGTCCTACACAAAGCAGGACTGGGAGGAAGTGATAAAACTGCACATCCTGTTGCCCACATTGTCTCAGATAACATTTTCCATGGATAGAAGAATGCCACAGGGTCCATGGAAAGCTGGTTTTCTGACATGAAATCCCCACGCTCTCTGAAGTGATCCTTTTTACATCACGCTACAGGAGAACTTGCACACTTCAAATGTGAATGTAATGTGGGGGATTTACCATATGCATACACTCTGTTGACACATGTATGTTGTATTTATCTCACAGTTTAAAGGTCACCACTTGACCTCACTGGGCAATCAAATGGGCAACAGAGATCCAGCATTATTGTATATACTAAAAACAATTAAAAAATACTTGCAGGAACACAACTTGTAGCTTAACTACTGATGGAAGCCACCAATTGTAGAAAAAATTAAAAATTGGCAGGAAATCAATCATATAAGGGCAAAGTAACTGGTAGTTAGTACACTGTTGCCTGTGTTTGGCTGCTTTATGTGTTATGCTTTGCCTTTGTCTCTGCAGTGTTTTTATCCTTTAATCAATGTGTATTCTTCTGCAGTGTATTTTAGTAACATACGAATGAGCTGCAACCGAGACTGAGAGGGGCTGAACATTAAGCTGCAGAGGTGCGAGTTATTTATATTTCCAGTTTTGGAGGTTAATCGGGGGTTTGGGACCAGATTGTTTTATGTATTTTAAGCCTTCTTTTATTCTTTGAGAAAAATTTAGTCTTGCTCTACATTAGCTCCTGGATGATGGCAAAATGAAGTCAAACACAAGGCGATTCTCTGCAGTGAATATAAAGCAAAAGACCAGGCAGAGGTTATGAATATAGAGACACACATGTATCAGCGCTGGCCTTTGCTTATTAATGTGTGGTTTCAGGAAACTATTGCTGTGCTGATGTTTCCAGCTATAATGTGACTGGCCAGAACAATGCGGTGTTAATTTGTTTGGTTTCCGGCAAAGGGCTGCAAAAACAGTGATGGCCACAGAGACAGGAAAGGACATTAATAGATGAAGGAATGCTGAGGGAGGGGGCACGCTGGCCAGTGTCCCGCACACCAGAAAGAGACGGCTCATACTTACATTTGCACTCTGAGGGCTCTGCAGGGGAACAGTCCCAGAGGTCTTTTCAGACACAGTAAAAAGCAGCAGGACCACTTGGTCCCACTGTCACTCCAAGACATTCATATTGAGGTGAGATGTGAAAGAGGTCACGAATATTGCCCCTTAAACAGCTATCTGTAAATGGCTAATCTTAGCCAAGTCATGACTTTTGCTTTACATTAAGTTTTTAAAACTGTGGGAAATCAGACTGAGGACAATCCAGAGCTACAAGAGAGAACTCTGTATGCAGTATAACCAAGTAAAAATAGCAGACATATCAAAAATGTGTTTCTAACTTCATAGTCCAGACAGGATTTCACAGGTTTTAGTCTCTAAAGAGTTCATCAAAAGAGCAGCAGTAGGGTCCTCTAACAGGGAGGATAAATGGATGTTTTTAGTTAAGCTAAACTAAACAGAAGTTAAACATTTTATTGCTGTTTGTCAAGGCTCCCATATGTTAGAAGGAGGAGTAAAACCTAAATCAAGATCTCTTATTGATCTGAGATTATCACCAAATCATTTAACCTAAACATACAGGCACACTGCTGTGGGCTGACGCAGCTGAACCATGAGGCCTGAGGTCTGTTTAAACAGACAGTAAAAATCAGTGGTGTGAAAAGAGAAGAACAACAGGTCATAAAACTACCTGCAGCAGATCAATGAAAGTTTATGACTGCATCATTTTGGTCTGTTTGTCCCTCTCAGAGGACGATAAGAGCTGCTGTTCAACACTGTAACCAGATGGTCAGTCTTGGTTCATCTGGTGATACATACCTCTACATACTTGTCTGTGAACTCAGGATTAGTACAGAGACATGACTCAAATATGGACATGATGACTGCTAAGGTTATCATTGCATTTGGCAATGAAACTGGGCTACCGTCCTCTTCCCTGTTTACATACACCAGGCAAGAAACAAATGATTGACAGAAGCAAGTGTGGCTCTGCTACAGTTGGTGGTGACATGACGTCATGTTACGTTTGTTTGTATGATACATCAGATTCAAATCTTTTAGGTCTTTTCTTCTCCTGTCAAGGTTTCATTTACTGCATGGCTTTGCACACATTCGTGATAGTCAATATCCAGGTTTGAGCCTAGCATGCTAACTCTTGGGTATGCTCAGAACACTCGGGCCAGTTTCAGTTTTATAGAAAGGTACAACTGAGAAGATCATTCGCTGACAATATGAGAAGTTTGATTTTGTGCAAGACTGGACAGACCTTTGGACTTCCATGTTTATCTGTTTCAGCAGACCTTCAG